ATATTTTGTTGGAAGCCGCCCAGAGTGGGCGGGGTATTAATAATAATAATAATAATTATTTCCAGTCAAATTCGACTATGGGGTTGTGGTGCTCATCTCCACTTTCAGGCTGAGGGAGCTGGCGTTTAAACATAAGACAGCTTTCTGGGTCATGTGGCCAGCATGACTAAACCGCTTCTGGCACAACGGGACACCGTGACGGAAACCAGAGCACACGGAAACGCCGCTTAACCTTCCCGCCAGAGCGGTACCTATTTATCTACTTGCACTGCTGTGCTTTTGAACTGCTATGTTGGCAGGAGCTGGGACAGAGCAACGGGAACTCACCCCGTCACGAGGATTTGAGCTGCCCAAGAGGCTCAGCGGTTTAGACCACAGTGCCACCCGCATCCCTAGCCAGGGCCTGATTATACTGATGCAGTAGCCCTCCTGGAAAGAAAGTTATGAAGCAAATTATACAAGCCGCCTTCTAAGCCAGCAGTTCTCAAACTATGGGCCATGGACCACTACTGAGCCCCATTTGAGACTTGCAGCCTCTTCCTCAGCCTGTGAGACGATCTCACTTGAGAACTGAAACAGAACTGAGAGAGCCAGTGTGGTGTAGTGGTTAAGAGCGGTAGATTCATAATCTGGTGAACCGGGTTTGATTCCCCGCTCCTCCACATGCAGCTGCTGGGTGACCTTGGGCTAGTCACACTTCTCTGAAGTCTCTCAGCCTCACTCACCTCACAGAGTGTTTGTTGTGGGGGAGGAAGGGAAAGGAGATTGTTAGCCGCTTTGAGACTCCTTAAAGGGAGTGAAAGGCGGGATATCAAATCCAAATCCAAACTCTTCTTCCTCCCTGCCTCTCTGTGTATTGAAATTATGAAGGAAGCCGCAGCTGCATTTGGAAACTAGCTAATACTTAGTAATCCTTTGGGGTCCTAAAGAGCTGCAGTCTCCTCCTCCTCCTCCTCCTCTCATTTAGTGCACATTTCATCCTAGAAACAAGAATGCCAATTTCCTGCTGGCCTGAGATCAGGAAGAAGCTGCTTTCTGCAAGCACCTTTATGGAGTAATTTGTGGGTGGGTGCTAAATAACTCCTTACCCCTGATACCTCTTGGAACTCAGCCTATGCTAAGAATGAAGGACCAGGTGTGCAGCCTGGGAGTCATTTTGGACTCACAGCTGTCCATGGAGGCGCAGGTAAGTTCTGCATCCAGGGCAGCTGTCTACCAGCTCCACCTGGTACGCAGGCTGAGACCCTACCTGCCCGCAGACTGTCTCACCAGAGTGGTGCATGCTCTAGTTATCTCCCGCTTGGACTACTGCAATGCGCCCTACGTGGGGCTACCTTTGAAGCTGACCTGGAAACTACAACTAATCCAGAATGCGGCTGCTAGACTGGTGACTGGGGGCGGCCGCCGGGACCACATAACACCAGTCTTGAAAGACCTACACTGGTTCCCAGTACGTTACCAAGCACAATTCAAAGTGTTGGTGCTGACCTTTAGAGCCCTTAACGGCCTCAAAGGCCCAGTATACCTGAAGGAGCGTCTCCACCCCCATCGTTCTGCCCGGACACTGAGATCCAGCGCCGAGGGTCTTCTGGCGGTTCCTTCATTGCGAGAAGCAAAGCTACAGGGAACCAGGCAGAGGGCCTTCTCCTTCTCGGTAGTGGCGCCCGCCCTGTGGAACGCCCTCCCATCAGATGTCAAAGAGATAAACAACTGCCTGACATTTAGAAGACAACATCTGAAGGCAGCCCTGTTCAGGGAAGTTTTTAATGTGTGAAATTTTAATGTATTTTTAATCTTTGTTGGAAACCGCCCAGAGTGGCTGGGGAAATCCAGTCAGATGGGCGGGGTACAAATAAATTATTATTATTATTATTATTATTATTATTATTATTATTATTATTATTATTATTATTATTATTAAAGGTTCGTTGCCATGCAGACAATCCTATTTCCCAGATCCTGGAAGCAGAAACAAAGGAACCGTCTGTCTTGGATCTGGTCCTCACCAACAGGGAGCAATAATTGAGAATGCATTCTGCTTAGGTCAGCTAAATGTTTCGGACCTGCTTTGCAGCCTCTCCCAAAATTTGGCTTTGCAGGGCGGGAATCTGCGCTCCCTGATTTGAGGGCTTGGGGGTCCCCTGGATGGATCAGCTGCACCCTCCCCCCAAATGCACAAAATAGAGTGGGGGTCGACTTACCAAATCCCAGATGACCTCCCACCTTCAAGTCCAGAACCAGGCAGGAAGGACTATGGCGTGGGGGCATGTCTTGCCCTGGAGGACTCCGCTCCCTTCCCTTCTCTCCGAGTTCCTTCCTCTCTAGGAAGCCAGTTCAGTTCTCCTTAACCCTTAGAAAGCCACGCAGCTGACGTTGTTTACTAGACCCAATAGGGGGCGCTGTTGATTTTTTTCCTAGGATTGTTTTGTTATTTTGAGAGTTTCGGGGAAGTTTTTCCCCCCTTCCCAAAGTAGTTTGGCGGTTTAGGGGCTGGGTGACCTTTTTTTCAGCACAGGCACGGTGACCACCTGCCAGACTCTTCTTTAGATGCAGCAAACGCCAGCAAAGTTACTGCGCCCTTTGAAGCAACGCTACATCCTTATATGAACTTCCAATACATTTCACTTTTTTAAAATTTCATGTGATTGTTTTGAGAATTGTGCTGGAGCACAGATCTACACCAGTCTTGCTTTCAGATGACAAATGTGTCCTTGCGCTCAAAAAATATATTCTTCCAACTGTTCACTTTCCAGTGAAAAATACCGTTTGAAAGATTATTAGATCTAGAGGTAGTCAAATTTTGGTCTCTTTGGCATCAGTGGGATAAGTTAATCTGGACTTCGTCTCTCTGTATGAATAAACACTGTGAACAACATAATTTTCACCATATATACTTTTCTGTATATACTTTTCATTCCTTTATTCATCTGACAACCCTTCTGCCCCAAAACTTGAGTATACGTATAACTGAGGGTAGCATTTCACACCTCTGTTGAATATAGGCCACAAAAGCTTCTGCCAGAATAAACTGGTTGGTCTTTTAAGGCACCACAGGATTGTTTTTAAGTCCCATGGATTTAAATGGAGCTACAGCATGTCAAAAATACTTTGGGCAAAAATTGTGGAGAGAGAAAAAGTAAAGTCTGGGAAAATCCGAATGTACGGCAACCCATGGCAGCAGTGTTGTTGAGGGTTGTTTTCCTTAAAAATAGCTCAAAAACTTTGGCCAAAAAGAAAAAAAAGAGCTCAACAATTTTTGTGTCCGGATTTTCACTTTTTGAAATATGACCGCCCTATTTTATATTGTTTGCTAGCTTCCCCCAGTTGCTAGTGCAGCCCATTAAATGAGGAGCCCCTCATGTGAACAGCATACAGAGTTGTGGCTCATCTGTTTCGTTGAAGGCTACACTTCCCCAGAGCCCAGAAACATGTTTGCTCCCTCAGTAGCTTCCCTTGCCTTCCCTGACCTGCCATTACTCCCAGGAAGATGTAAATTATGTGGTTAGAACAGCCAGCACCACTCTTCAAAAAGAAAGAACAAGAAGCATGGCAAGTGTTGGATCAACATATTATTGACATTCAGCTATGAGCTGCCATGCGTTGTCATGAACCAGCTGTTTGTAACCTGTGAACCCATGTTGGAGTGCTAGTGATTTAGTCAAGAAAGCTTTCAAAAGCTCAGCTGGGAGTGTCAGAGAAGAACCAGGACAAGACTTGATCATTGTGAGTAAGTACCACACTATAGTTTTCATTTGCAAAACAAATGTTTTACTATTTAGGAGGGCGTAAGGGATTGGGAAGACTTAAGGTGGAGATACCTTCTCATTGTTGGTGGTTCATTATAAAATATTATATGTCTACTATATATTCTATATTATATAATAAGCAATCATTTCTCACCAGGGTCATGTACTTTCAACTTCAAACTTAGCAAAGTGAACAGACTAGCAAACAGACAGGAACTTGTAGGAAATAAAGAATAGTACACAGAAATAAAGGTGTTATAACTTTCACTCATCCAGGGCAACCCCCCTCCCCTTCGCTTTAAGGATTCATTGGCTCAAAATAGTACTTAAATCATTGGCTCAGAATAGAACTTAAATCCCAGATTGCCAATGGTTGGGTAGCTCAAAGCTCCTTCTTCATGCCTTGCTGGAAATGGACCCAGAGGAGGACTGTGAGAGATGCTGTAGCCTTGCTGGTGGACAGGGAGAGCAGAACTCCCAGACCAAAGCCACAGAACTCTGCTCCCTGACTTAGGTTCTGCATACTTTGGGCTAGATATGTGCATCCCCTTCCTTTCTCACTTTATTTCAAGTGTGGGCACTGTGGCAAATTAACACACTCACTTTCGAGGCTTTTGGAATAGCAAGGTATCATTTTTACTCTCAAGATCATGGTGTGTATGCTGTGCGATTTGCTACCCACTTATATTGCAACCACTCTTTGAAAACCACACCCATATTATTTCATTCTATACGGCCTTTCATCCAAAGATCACAGTGCAGTTTACAATACTAAAACAACAACAACGCGAGACATAATACCATAATAGCAAACGAAAACAGCACCCCTCCAGTATTCTGTGTCGTTTTTATTTCATTTAATAAAACAATCTTTTTTTTCATATCTCTGATGTGTGCAACATCTTTATGGGACATAAGATTAAGGACAGAAACAGGTATTCATGATGGATGGATGTTTAACTCCAGTAAAAACGCTCATAGATCTATAAAGTTGGAAGGGACCACGAGCGACATCTATCCAACACCATGCAATGCAGGAATCTTTCGCCCAACATGGAGCACTAACACACAACTCTGAGATTAAGAGTCTCGTGCTCTACCGACTGAGCTATCCCAGGTCTTAAATATCCTGAATATCTTACATGAGCGCTGGACAAACTTGTGGGTTCAGATGCACACCTTGTGGCACAGCCTTGTCAGGTCCATTGACTGCCAGCTGTCACTGTTTTTATAATATCATTCCATCATGAATTCTTTGATGGGAAACAAAAGTTTCTTTCCAGCGGAAGCTCTGCCCACATTCCAAGCACTGATACGGCTTCTCCCCTGAATGAATTCTTTGATGGGAAGTGAGACGGTGGTTCCGACTGAAGCTCTTCCCACACTCCAAGCACTGATATGGTTTCTCTCCATTATGAAGTCTTTGATGGGAAGTGAGATTCTGCTTTAAGCTGAAGCTCTTCCCACACTCCAAGCACTGATACGGTTTCTCCCCCGTATGAATTATCTGATGGGAAGTGAGATTATCCTTCCGGCTGAAGCGCTTTCCACATTCCAAGCACTGATATGGTTTCTCCCCCGTATGAATTCTTTGATGATTATATAAGTTTGCCCTTAAATTAAAGCTCTTTCCACATTCTAAACATTGATATGGTTTCTCACCTGTATGAATTCTTCGGTGGGAAGTGAGATGAGCGATCTGACTGAAGCTCTTCCCACATTCAAAGCACTGATATGGTTTCTCCCCTGTATGAATTCTTTGATGGGCAGTGAGACTTGCCTTTTGGCTGAAGCTCTTCCCACAGTCCAAGCAATGATATGGGTTCTCCAAGGTGTGAACTCTTTGATGTGAAGTGAGATGGGAGCTTTGACTGAAACACTTCCCACATTCCATGCACTGATATGGTTTCTTCCCCGTATGAATTCTTCGGTGGGAAGTGAGATGAGCGATCTGACTGAAACACTTCCCACATTCCAGGCACTGATATGGTTTCTCCCCTGTATGAATTCTTCGATGGGCAGTGAGGCTGGACTTCTGGCTGAAGCTCTTCCCACAGTCCAAGCACTGATACGGTTTATTTTCTGTATGAACTCTTTGGTGGGAAGTGAGATGGGTGATTTGGCGAAAGCTCTTTCCACATTCCAAGCATTTATATGGTTTCTCGCCTGTGTGAATTCTTTCGTGCTTAGTGAGACTTGACTTCCTGCTAAACTTCTTCCCACACGCTAAGCACTGATATGGTTTCTCCTCGCTGTCAGTTTCTTGTTGAGAGCTCTGATTGAAGATCTCTTCCGTCTCCAAATATATATTCACTTCCCCTACTCCGTGACTCTTGTTGTGAGCTCTCTTATTCTTGGTTTCCAAATTTTCACCTTCTGCAAGGAGAACAGAAAGTGATTAGAATCACGGGATGAAGTTGGGCTCCAGATTATTGAGCCATGTCAAAAAACAGTTGTGATAACGAAAGAACTGAACGGACTTAGATGCGATGCAGAGCTGCTACAACAGCAGCAAGAATCCTTCTAGCAAAGTATTGGAAGACACAAGATCTACCCACGTTGGAAGAATGGCAGACGAAGGTGATTGATTATATGGGACTGGCAGAGATGACTGGCAGAATCCGAGACCGGGGGAAAGAGGCGGTGGATGAAGACTGGAACAAATTTAAAGTCTATCTTAAAAACTGTTGTAATTTGGAAAATTAGAGGATCAGGGTAATAAGAGATAAAGAACTACAGTTGTTTTATTATCTTATGGAAATTAAATTTATGAAATAGAAATAAGTTTAATACGAAAGGGTTGCTGAAAAATCTTGAAACAAGAATGCAGAAAAGGGGTGGTACGGGGAAGTCGTTTTTGTGTTTATCTATGTTCTTGCTTTGTTTTCTTTTATACTTATGGAAAATTAATAAACATTTATTTAAAAAAAAAAATAAATAGATGCGATGCAGAGCTTTCCAGTATATCTGAAGGAGCGTCTCCACCCCCATCGTTCTACCCGGACACTGAGGTCCAGCACCGAGGGCCTTCTGGCGGTTCCCTCACTGCGGGAAGCCAAGTTACAGGGAACCAGGCAGAGGGCCTTCTCGGTAGTGGCGCCTTCCCTGTGGAACACCCTCCCACCAGATGTCAAAGATAACAACTACTACCAGGCTTTTAGAAGACATCTGAAGGCAGCCCTGTTTTGGGAAGCTTTTAATGTTTGATGTATTATAGTATTTTAATATTCTTTTGGAAGCCACCCAGAGTGGCTGGGGAAGCCCAGCTAGATGGGCAGGGTATAAATAATAATAATAATAATAATAATAATAATAATAATAATAATAATAATAATTTCTACAGAATTAACTGCCCCTTAACTGGCATTAAGGGAACAGGTGCCATGCTACAGACCACTGGTTCTCAAACTTCTTCTCTGGGCCACACTTTCAGAATAAAAATTTGCTCATGCCAAACCAAATTTTTTATTGATAAGAAATACATTGGAAAAACAAAAGAAACACCCCCTATCAGTGCTTGATTTATAAAATAGAACACAATTACTTTATAATATGATCACGGGACATCCCAAAAGTATAAAACAATGCGGTTACATAAGAACAGGCATCATTTACCAAATTTAATTATAAGCTAGCCTCTTGCGTAGGTACCTTAAATATGTATGCAAATTCAATAAGAGCTGTGAGCTTGCTTTTATATTAGGTCTACTTTGAGGCAAGCAAAGACTTGTATCCTCATCAACACAAAGAAGCCTTTCTCTTTTCTGATCTTTCATATCTGTCAGAAAAGATATTTTGATATCTATCCAGATACCATACTTTACTATATGCTACACTGAAATGTTTAATTTTTTTCTTCGATTGTCTTTTAATCTTCCCACTACACTTGCCATCCTCTCCTGCAACACAAGGCTGGCGTGCCAAACCCTTTGAGAACCACTGCTATAGACAGCTGAAATTCAGCCATGGGTTACAGGGAACCAGGCAGAGGGCCTTCTTGGTAGAGGCACGTGCCCAGGGGAGATAAACAATTATATGCCCTTCCGTAGGGAAGCTGCGGGTGTGTGTCTCTGTGAGTATTATATGATAAGTATGTAATATTTGTTTACAATGTTTTTGGATTGTTTTCAATCTTTTTTTTCTTTCTTTTTTCTTGTTTTGTTTCTTCTGTATTCTTTAAACAAAAATAAATAAACATGCAATCAATTATATGACCTTCCGTAGACACCTGAAAGCAGCCCTGAATCAGGATATTTTCAATATCTGATGTATCGTGTGATCTTTTTTTAGGAGATCGATAAGGACCATCCAGGCGATCACTTTACTAAATACCAAGATCGACCCTGAACGCCCCCATAATCGACCGGTCAATTGCAATTGACCTGTGGTACATGTCTGCTTTATATTATGTTGGAAGCTGCCCAGAGTGGCTGGGGAAACCTAGTCAGATGGGTGGGGTACAAGTAATAAATTATCATCATCATCATATTCAGAAACAAAATGGTTGATCATTTTCCATTCCAGGTTAACTGCAGGGGCATTAGAATAAAGGTAATGGACCCCCGTACGATTAAGTCCATTCAAAGGCAACTATGGGGTTGTGGTGCTCATCTCCACTTGCAGGCCGAGGGAGTTGGCGTTTGTCCACAGTGATGGAAACCAGAGCGCACAGAAATGCTGCTTACCTTCCCACAGCAGCGGTACCTATTTATCTACTTGCACTGGCATGCTTTCAAACTGCTAGGTTGGCAGGAGCTGGGACAGAGCAACAGGAGCTCACCCCGTTGCGGGGATTCGAACTGTCGACCTTCTGATCAGCAAGCCCAAGAGGCTCAGTGGTTTAGAACACAGCGCCACCCGCGCTGTAGGGGGCGTGGTTGAATTCCATCACAATACCATTGGTTCATCACACATCCGATTTTCAAAACAGTTCTTGTGACCCAACAGAAAGACTTACCGAGCGAGACCATGATGCCACAGGTCTCTTCCATGACTTCCGTATGCAGAGCTCTCTGGTCGGGATCCAGCAGCGACCACTCCTCATCCGTGAAATGCACAGCCACATCCTCAAAGGTTGCTGGACTCTAAAAGAAAAAGGAAATGTTTCCACCTCAGAGAAAGCATATGGATTACCTGCCACTCATTACTGTTGTTCATTGTCTATTAATTGCGGTGTTTTTTAATGCCATTATCGTGCTGAGCATTTTAATTATGGGTGTTTTAAGGGAAACGTTTCATTGCGTGTTTTAATGATCGCTGTTTCAAGCTTATTCTTTCTGTAAACACTTTTCCTACGTTGCCAGCTGTTTAGAAGCCTATGTTAGCATTAAGTGTTGTTAATAATAATAATAATAATAATAATAATAATAATAATAATAAAAAATTATTTATACCCCGCCCATCTGGCTGGGCTTCCCCAGTCACTCTGGGAGGCTTCCAAAAGAATATTAAAATACTATAATACATCAAACATTAAAAGCTTCCCGAAACAGGGCTGCCTTCAGATGTCTTCTAAAAGCCTGGTAGTTGTTGTTCTCTTTGACATTTGGTGGGAGGGTGTTCCACAGGGAAGGCGCCACTACTGAGAAGGCCCTCTGCCTGGTTCCCTGTAACTTGGCTTCTCGCAGTGAGGGAACCGCCAGAAGGCCCTCGGTGTTGGACCTCAGTGTCCGGTTAGAACGATGGGGGTGGAGACGCTCCTTCAGATATACTGGACCAAGGCCGTTAGGGCTTTAAAGGTCAGCACCAACACTTTGAATTGTGCTCGGAAACGTACTGGGAGCCAATGTAGGTCTTTCAAGACCGATGTTATGTGGTCTCTGCGGCCGCTTCCATTCATAAGCAATACTACAGCTACTAAGAAAAAACAATTAATTCAGGTCTAGGGAGGTGAGGACGGGACAGAGGCACCCTGGCTTTCCCCAGCTCTCTCCCCGTACTGATTTGCTCCCCATACCTGATGCCGTCCCACAGAAACTGCTTCCCTTCCACTGTGAAGAAGAGATGGCTGAGGAGGTCTTGCCGGCATCACCCTGTCAACTGTGAGAGACAAAGTTAGTGGGAAGCCAGTAGCACTTGATGGTCTCTGAGATTAACGAATGCATGCCTAAGTACACACAGGCCTTGGAAAAAGTTTTATTTTTTTAGTGTTTACAAAGAAATGTGTTTATACGTGTTAGTATTTCAGTTGTGTGAAAACACATTTCTACTTCTTTGGGCTTTTGTTCTCAACTCAAAAAGTGTATTGGAAATAAATGCATGTTTAAGCAGTGGAAAAAGCTAGAGAGGTGTCTTTTGTTCCAAATATTAAAGCAGCTCCTAGGTTTATTTTGCACTCAACAGAGGGAGACCAAACTGATATACATCCCATTCATCCTTACCAAGTGGACTCTGTTTGGTACCAAATGGAACCATCTTAGGAAAAACCGTGCTCCTTTCTGCAAACTGATTCCGTCTCTGAAACAGTAATGAAGAATCAAAACAAGGAATGGGGAGAAGGAATGACAGGAGCAAAATCCTAATGCAGAGGTCAGCAAACTTTTTCAGCAGGGGGCTGGTCCATTGTCCCTCAGATCTTGGGGGGGGGGGGCAGACTTTATTTTTTTGGGGGGGGGGGGATGAACAAATTCCTATGCCTCACAAATAACCCAGGGATGCATTTTAAATAAAAGGACACATTCTACTCTTGTAAAAGCACCCTGATTCCCGAACCGTCTGTGGGCCGGATTTAGAAGGTGATTGGGCCGGATCCGGCCCCTGGGCCTTAGGTGCCTACTCATGTCCTAATGGGATCTGGCCATTTTTCCTTGGATGCTTTACTGAAAAAGATGGGCAAATAGCAGAGTTTTAAGATACCCTCCCTCATGTTCTGAACCCCCTGGAGACTATCTAGATGGAACACTCACCTGTGCCTCCTCCTGCTTCTTGTCTGCCTGGCTCAGGAGGAAACCTTCAGCCAGGGCCACAGCCTGGGAACAAGTGTCTGCTCCACAGCCTCTCACCCAGCTCTCCATCTCCGGTGGAAGGACAGCCAGGAACTGCTCCAGAATCACCAGGTCTAGGATCTCCTTCTTTGTGTGTCGATCTGGCTTCAGCCACTGACAGCAAAGCTGGTGGAGTTGGCTGCAAACCTCTCGGGGTCCTTTGGCCTCCTGGTAGCAGAACTGCCTGAACTGCTGGCTCTGCACATTTGAGCCGAGAGTGATTTTCTCACCAGGGACTTTCTGCACTGACTTTTCCCAGAATCTCCCACGGCTCTCAGTCTTGATGGCATCGTAGCCTCTTCCTGCTTCAGGGCCAGCCGAGTCTTCCTTTTTCTTCTGCGCTCCAAGGAAGCCTCCAGGAAGTCGAAAGGAACTCCTTCGCTCTTCTGCCATTTTCTGCCTGTCCTAATTAACCAAGACATTTTTTTGTTATGCTGTAAGGAGAGGAAAAATACTCCCTGTTGAAGTATCGTTAGAAACCTGGGATGTATTATAGTGATGCAATAGCCCTTCTGGAAGAAAAATTTTCAAGTAAAATACGCAGCCCCACCTTCTAAGTAGGCAGTTCTCAAAGTGCGGGTAATAGTAATAGTAATTTGTTATTTGTACCCCGCCCATCTGGCTGGCTTTCCCAGCCACTCTGGGCAGCTTCCAACAAAGATTAAAAATACATTAAAATGTCACACATTAAAAACTTCCCTGAACAGGGCTGCCTTCGGATGTCTTCTAAATGTCAGGTAGTTGTTTATCTCTTTGACATCTGATGGGAAGGCGTTCCACAGGGCGGGCGCCACTACCAAGAAGGCCCTCTGCCTGGTTCCCTGTAGCTTAGCTTCTCGCAGTGAGGGAACCGCCAGAAGGGCCTCAGAGCTGGACCTCAGTGTCCGGGCAGAACGATGGAGGTGGAGACGCTCCTTCAAGCATACTGGGCTGAGGCTGTTTAGGGCTTTAAAGGTCAACACCAACACTTTGAATTGTGCTCGGAAACGTACTGGGAGCCAATGTAGATCTTTCAAGACCGGTGTTATGTGGTCTCGGCAGCCGCTCCCAGTCACCAGTCTAGCCGCCACATTCTGGATTAGTTGTAGTTTCAGGGTCACCTTCAAAGGTAGCCCCATGTAGAGCGCATTGCAGAGGCAGTTTCAGTCTGAGACACCAGAGGAGTTGGTCTGGTTTCTCACCACCTTACCATGTTTTGTTTTGTTTTTAAAAAATTGAAGTTGGAGCTGTGATTGACAGGTGAGTTTTTTGGATGCCAGGCAAGTGTTAGGCATCCCTGGGGACCTAAAAAGCTGCCATTTTGTCCTCTGATTTAATGCACATTTCATCCTAGCAACCAGAATGCAGCTTTCCTGTACATCTTAGATTAGGAATTAGGTTATTTTCTTCAAATACCTCTATGGAGTGTTTGTGGGTGGGTGCTAAAGAATCTCTTCCCCTCCAAAAAAATGGCAAACGCAAAAAACAAAACAAAAACAAGCTACAAAGAGGCTGTCCAGATGTTCATTAAGAATTCAGTGTATAGTTAACTTACAGCAGAATGTGTTGTGGGCATCAAGGAGTTAACACTCAGTGCTAAGTGGAAATGCTGACTCAGCATCATGTGACACGGGGCATTGCCTAATTCAGTGTTTCCCAACCTTTTTTGGGCAAAGGCACACTTGTTTCATGAAAAAAATCTCGAGGCACTCCACCATTACAGCCCCATGACGTCAGCGCGCAGCGTCACGCCGGGAGGGACGCACGAAAGTGTAAGTTTCAATTTTTTCCCCTCCCCCTTGCCTTCCTTCTGTGCCAACCGCCAAAAAAGCCAAGAATCGCGGGACCGCCGGCGGAGGGGGGGAGGGCGAGCGGAGGCAGCGGCGAGCCCCGTTCCTCGCCATCCGCCCCATTCCGTGCAAGGAGCGCGAACAGGTGTGAGAAGGGGGTCAAACCTGCGGGTCGGCGCCGGGGAACCTCCAAGCTTTGGGGGTGGGGGGGGAGGCAGCAAAGCGAGGCAGGAAGGAGAGCGCGGCTTGGCTGGGTGAGCTTTGGCAGGGGCAGGGAATGAGAGCCGCGAGGCGGGCGCTGCGGACGAAGGCGCTGCCCGCCGAGCTCGCAGGCAGCCAGGCAGCCAGGCAGGCAGACGGCGAGAGCCCCGCGCTGGGCGGCCTCTCCTCGCCGCCGCCGCCCCGCCTCTCGCCGCCCGACTCACCCGCCTCCCTCCAGGCAACATCTCGCGGCACACCAGGCAACGTCTCGCGGCACACTAGTGTGCCGCGGAACACCAGTTGGGAAACACTGGCCTAATTGGTCTATAGCCACCTAGTATAAAAAAGTATGGCTGACATCCCCTCTCTGGCATCTTACCTATATGTAGTCCCACCTGTGTATGCTGCTTTCTGGATGTAAGAAGACTGCTTTATAATGATACAAAACTGCAACTGGAATAAAGCCTCACTGAAAATACAGCTTGACTCTTGAGTGCTTCATGTGGGGCTTTCGTACATTGCAACAGAATGGCGTGCATTTCTACTCAGAATGCGTCTTACATGAGAGTTAAAGTGGGCACAGGATTGCGGGAACCAGATCACATTAAGATTGGTCGGAGCTGTACAAATGTGTGAGTGGCAGTCAGAAAAACAAGGCTCTATGCCGTTCAAAGACGCATCACTCTGCTTAAAGGAAGCAAAAGCCCTTCTGCAGCCATTTTACTGTCTTTTCTCCAGTTTCACACCCACCATATGAGGTAGGTTTATCTTGTCGCGTGACTGGAGCAAGGCAGTCCGTGAGCAAACAGAATAAGGCGAGTTCAAAATGTGAAACTGCCCAGACTTGTGGGGATTTTTTGATGCCGCTTCTCAAGGCTGGCAAAACAGGTTGTGTCTTTCCTTCTGCTGCAAAAGGAGAACAAGAAGAGCGGAACAAAGCCATCCAAAGACAGAGGAGGGCGGGGAGAAACTTGCTTTGTGTGGGTGGTTCCCCCCCCTTCTGCCTTTCATTCTGGAGCAATGGTTTCGGGGAGCATGATTGAAACAGCTCAGGGCAATGTGAGGAGGGCACAGTATGTGTAGCCTGAGATAAGGCTTAATCCTGAAAGATTGTCTTTTGGGTCCCTTCCAACTCTACAAGTCCGTGATTCTATGACCTCCTTTGATGGCCAGAAGCACTGCGTCAATTTGCGCATCTGGCAACCTAGTAACTTAATGCCCACATCTATCTATCTATCTATCTATCTATCTATCTATCTATCCATCCATCTACCTACATTTATCTATAAACAGGCCTGGCTTTGCAGAGACAGGGAGGGGGGAACAGAACTTCCACCCCCTATGACCTCCTTTGATGGGCAGAAGCACTGCGCCAATTTGTGCATCTGGCAACCTCGAAACTCTATCTATCTATATATCTATCCACCTACCTACATTTATCTATAAACAGGCCTGGCTTTGCAGAGACAGGGAGGGAGGGACAGAACTTCCACCCCCAATGACCTCCTTTGATGGGCAGAAGCACTGCGTCAATTTGTGCATCTGGCAACCTAGAAACTCTATCTATCTATCTATCTATCTATCTATCCATCTACCTACCTTTATCTATAAACAGGCCTGGCTTTGCAGAGACAGGGAGGGAGGGACAGAACTTCCACCCCCTATGGCTCCTTTGATGGGCAGAAGCACTGCGTCAATTTGTGCATCTGGCAACCTAGAAACTCTATCTATCTATCTATCTATCCATCTACCTACCTTTATCTATAAACAGGCCTGGCTTTGCAGAGACAGGGAGGGAGGGACAGAACTTCCACCCCCTATGACCTCCTTTGATGGGCAGAAGCACTGCGTCAATTTGTGCATCTGGCAACCTAGAAACTCTATCTATCTATCTATCTATCTATCTATCTATCCATCTACCTACCTTTATCTATAAACAGGCCTGGCTTTGCAGAGACAGGGAGGGGGGAACAGAACTTCCACCCCCTATGACCTCCTTTGATGGACAGAAGCACTGCGTCAATTTTCGCATCTGGCAACCTAGTAACGTAATGCCATCATCTACCTACCTACCTTTATCTATAAACAGGCCTGGCTTTGCAAAGACAGGGAGGGAGGGACAGAACTTCCACCCCCAATGACCTCCTTTGATGGGCAGAAGCACTGCGTCAATTTGTGCATCTGGCAACCTAGAAACTCTATCTATCTATCTATCTATCTATCTATCCATCTACCTACCTTTATCTATAAACAGGCCTGGCTTTGCAGAGACAGGGAGGGAGGGACAGAACTTCCACCCCCTATGACCTCCTTTGATGGGCAGAAGCACTGCGTCAATTTTCGCATCTGGCAACCTAGTAACGTAATGCCATCATCTACCTACCTACCTTTATCTATAAACAGGCCTGGCTTTGCAGAGACAGGGAGGGAGGGAGAGGATTTCCACCCCCTGATCCGGGGACTCGGGGTGTGTCCCCCTGACCCCCTCAGCACCCAAAAACACCCCCACCCCCCGAGGACTCCGCTTCCCAAAAACGCGCGTCACAGAGAGGGGGCTCACCGGGTGCCGGAAGGGCGAGCGAGGGCGGGGCGTCCAGGAGAGACAAAGGCCACGTTCTCCAGCCCGAGAGGGAAGCCAGGAAGGAAGAGGCTTCGGAGGCCGGATGTTTTGCCAGCGCGCTTCCGCCCTGCCACTTCCTGTCCCCTCTAGGAAGCCACATCGTTGGTCACAGGGCGCCTGTTGGGCGTGCAGGTGGCCCCCTGGTTCCATTCCTGGGCGCCTCCGCTTAATCAGATCCAAGCAGCAGATCCAACCACCTCCCCCTTCTTGCAATGCCCAGCGCATTTCAGCCCCTGGGAATTATAGTTTGCGAAGGGTGCTGGGAACTGTAGTTCGCAAGACGTAACCGGCTGTACGTTTGAAAAAATAATATATACTATTCATTGTACAGTGGTACCTCGGGTTACATACGCTTCAGGTTACAGTCTCTGCTAACCCAGAAATATTACCTCGGGTTAAGAACTTTGCTTCAGGATGAGAACAGAAATCGTGCGGCGGCAGCAGGAGGCCCCATTAGCTAAAGTGGTGCTTCAGGTTAAGAACAGTTTCAGTTTAAGAACGGACCTCTGGAATGAATTAAGTACTTAACCCAGGGTACCACTGTATTGAATTGTAGATTTCAACAGAAGTAGCTCATAAAGTTCAACGAAACAAGTAGAAGACCCAGTGGATCAGTTTATTCTCTAATCAGTTTATGCATAAGGTCCATATATGTGAAAGTGTCTATTCCACCTGTTGGTTCAGAGAGTCCAATAATCCACAGGAAAGGTTGTTGCAGTTGCACAGAATCCTTTCACAGAGTCTCAGACAAGGATTTCTGGAATATTAGCCTTGTTTTGCCATCCTGGGCTTCACCAGTAGTACAAACTCATATATGATATCACAGGACAGTGGATCTTATAGCATAGTAGTTTGTACTACTGATGAAGCCTAGAACGGCAAAACAAGGCTAATATTCCTCTGTGAAAGGAATAAACTGATTAGAGAATAAACTGATCCACTGGGTCTTCTACTTGTTTTGTTGAACTTTATGAGCTACTTCTGTTGAAATCTATAATTCAATACAATGAATAATGGTAAAGGGACCCCTGACCATTAGGTCCAGTTGTGGCTGACTCTGGGGTTGCGGCACTCATCTCACTTTATTGGCCGAGGGAGCCGGCGTACAGCTTCCAGGTCATGTGGCCAGCATGACTAAGCAGCTTCTGGCGAACCTGAGCAGCACACGGAAACGCTGTTTACCTTCCCGCCAGAGTGGTACCTATTTATCTACTTGCACTTTGACGTGCTTTCGAGCTGCTAGGTTGGCAGGAGCAGGGAACGAGCAACGGGAGCTCACCCCGTCATGGGGATTCGAACCACCGACCTTCTGATCAGCAAGCCCTAGGCTCTGTGGTTTAACCCACAGTGCCACCTGCGTCCCTAATTAGAAGGCTCCTAATTGGAAGAAGACAACACCAGCCACGTTACCACACCTTTTGAATTATTGCTTCATGAAGATCTAGGATATTTTATTTTTATTTCATGTGATGGTTTTGAGGAATATGCTCACCATCAGCAATGGGAAAAGTTAAACCTGACATTCCTGACAGTGCTAGGATATCTGTTATCGACAACTGCTTTGAGTATGCACGAATAAACACTGTCAGGAACATAATTATCACCATTATGTAAAGGTATGAAATACTTTTTGGTATTTCATTCCCTCATCTCACCATTTACAACCCCTCAGAGCATGGGGATACACATAACTGAGGATAGCATTTCATGAATCTGATGAAGGGGTTTGTAGCCCACAAGAGTTTCTGTCTGAATCAATTTCTTACTGTTTTAATTTGTCACAGGACTGCTTTTAGTCTCACGGATTTCAGTGGGGCTAAAGCATGTATAAACAGTATCATTCAAATCCATGGTAACAGTAGGCAATAAACCTCTGCAGCTAGGTTCCCATCAGCCCAACACTCCCAACGAACACTAGATATTAAGCAAAACAGAAATAAATACAGAAAAAGAGGGCAAGTTAAGTTTTTGGATAAGGGGCCTTCACTTGGTCAATCTCTGTACAGTGGTTTTCAAACACCTTGGTACTCAAATAACTTGGAACCCAAACACTGCAAACCCAGAAGTAAGTGTTCCGGTTTGCAAACTTTTTTTGGAACTCGAACGTGCTCCATTTTGAGTGTCACACTTCTGTTTGGAATGTTACACTGACAATTTGAGTGTAACGCTTCCGATTTGAGTGCAACACTTCCAATTTGAGTGTTACACGCTGAGGTCTGTCTGTTCTTGCCATCTATTTTGCATTTTTCTTTTTGTGGCTCTTTTTTGTGTGTGACTGTGTGGAACCCAGTTCAGCTGCTGATTAATTGATTGTGTGACTGCAGTACATTGTTTATTGCTTTCATTTTATGGATCAGTGGTCTTGTTAGATAGTAAAATTCATGTTAAATTGCTGTTTTAGGGGTTGTTTTTAACAGTCTGGAATGGATTAATCCATTTTGCATTACTTTCTATGGGAAAGTGCCCCTTGGTTTTGGAACGCTTTGGTTTTGGAACGGACTTCCAGAACGGATTAAGTTTGAGAACCAAGGTACCACTGTACTGCTAATTGCTATCAAGTCTTGCTTCATTTCATCTTGGGAGACAGGAAGTCTGGTCTTTAAATTAATCTCAAAAACCATAGTAAGGGCCAAAGCGAGAGGGTGATTCCAGCATGCTTCAATGCTTCTGCCAACTCCCAAATCCAGCTGTGATCCAAATAACAGGTTGCATTGAGCTACTATGCTTACAGCAGGCAACAGGCACACAGAGCCAAAGAAAGCGGTGTTTATTTTTTTCACACTTTGGCTGCGAAAGAAGTCTCTGTTGCAAGTCTTCAGAAAAACAAAACAAAACAGGTTTCTAAGCCCTTCCCCTATACACACATTGGAGTGGGTGGCTTTTATTTATTTATATTTAACAAAACTTTATATGCCACCGGACGGTAACAAAACCTCTTAGGCGGTTTACCAGAAGTGTCAAAGCTATCAATTAAAAAACGTTGAAAACATTCAAAAACGTTTAAATTAAACAGCAGAGTTAAAACCGTGAAAATGTTAACATTAAGAATATAAGATTGAAACACATCAACATCCATGCATCCGGAACGGTTTGCCTGAACAAACATACATTAAGCTGGCGCCGAAAAGAGTACAGCAAAACTGCCTGCCTGACATCAATAGGCAGAGAGGAATTTCAGCTATGAAGTGATCCTATCACAAGAACTCCAACTCGCTCTGAGAACAGGGATCATCAGGAATCTCTGGAGACTTCATTCTCTACTCAGGATCCTTGGGAGCCGGGGGAGGGGGGGCACATGAGGGCATCACACCCCAGTATACCGTATTTGTAAACAACATATTTACAACATCAATGTACATTTTACAGTACATTTTATGTTACATTTGCATTCAATAATAGCTGAGGGGAAAGGTCCAAAAGGTGACAGATTGGTAGGTAGGATACTCATCTTGAGGAAGAACAACAAGCCTTCTTGGTCATGTGAGACTCGACAATCTGTGGGGTGCAAGGCCTCAGGTGAAGAGGGTCGCAACTGGAGACATGCTTTCAAAAACATGCCGACTGTTATAACTGACTGAATTTCAGTTAACACCGGGGAGGAAGTAGAGCAGTGTCAGCTGTTCAAGGAAAATATGTGAGACAGTGACAAAAATCCCCCACTGGTGAAGATCTGGTGCTCTGTCCATGTGGCATGGAATAAGGTGTAAGACGCTGGCACTGGGCTGAGCCATGTTATTCAGAATCTTGGTTCAATCTAAGCCTTCTTCCATGTATCATACAGGTGCAGATGATAACTGGAGTTGCTGAAGGAAATAAACATTGCTTGCTGTTGAACCCAACCACCTCTGAGGTATGATGAACAGAGGACTCTTTCTTCCTAATGGGAGTCCTTTCCTTTACCTTCTCACAGAGGAAAACCTCAAACTTGTGGCTTTTCTGGCAGATGTCCTGTGTGTTCAGCAGACATGAGGAGGAGCCACAATCTGATGCCACCACCATCCTAGACATGCTGAGATGATGGTGGCGATCAGGAGCACCATAAATTCGCAAAGGGTCCAAAGAAAACCTCTGCGTTGATGGCTACCTCATCAGTGTTGCTGAATCTCTCTTTATCATCTCTCCAGACATGAAGAAGGTATTCAACCCCTTGGCCAATGACATGTACCTCACAGAGCTGTTGTTAGCCACTCTGAGTCCAGCTTTGGCTGGGGAGGGCGGGCTATAAATAAAATATTATTATTATTATTATTATTTGAAATGAAGTAATACTGGGCACTGAAAATGCAGTTCATGGTTTTGAGAAACAGCAGCAACTTTTTCGCTCCATTGGCAAATGATGAGATCCTATTGCAATCCTCACCCGTGTACTAAATAAAATCTCCTAAAAATAAATTTGTATACAGCCATTGATATGGTTTCTCCCCACTGTGAGTTCTTTGATGGGAAGTGAGATTGGAGCTCTGGCTGAAGCTCTTTCCGCATTCCACGCACTGATACGGCTTCTCGCCAGTATGGATTCTTTGGTGGGAAGTGAGACTTTCCTTCCGACTGAAACTTTTTCCACACTCTTGACATTGAAATGGTTTCTCCCCACGGTGAATACTTTGATGACTATGGAAGTTTGTGCTTGTATTAAAGCATTTCCCACATTCCAAGCATTGATATGGCTTCTCCCCACTATGAATTCTCTGATGTCGACGGAAGTTTGTGCTTGTATTAAAGCTCTTCCCGCATTCCAAGCACTGATAGGGTTTCTCTCCTGTGTGAATTCTTTGATGGGAAGTGAGACTTTCCTTCCAGGTGAAGCACTTTCCACATTCTAAGCACTGATACGGTTTCTTCCCACTATGAACTCTTTGATGGGAAGTGAGACTTCTCTTGGAATTGAAGCTATTCCCACATTCCAGGCATTTAAATGGTTCCTCCCCTCTGTGAATCCTTTCATGTAAAGTGAGATTCGAGTTTCGAGTGAAGCTCTTTCCACATTCCAAGCAGTAATATGGCTTCTCCTTGGTGTGGATTCTTTGATGGGACGTGAGGTGCGAGTTCCGACTGAAGCTCTTCCCACATTCCAAGCACTGATAGGGTTTCTCTCCAGTATGGATTCTTTGATGGGAAGTGAGATTTGAGCTCTGACTGAAGCTCTTTCCACATTCTGAGCATTGATATAATTTCTTCCCAGTGGGATTTCTTTGATGGGAAGTGGAATGGAACCTCTGACTGAAGCCATCTCTACACTCCAAACGTTCATAAGGGATTTTGTTGTTGTCTCCCTTGTTCTTAATTTCCGATTTATCACCACCTGTAAAGAAAGAAACGGATCACAGCCTCAGGAAGAAACAGGCCCCCAAATTATTGAACAATGCTAATTAACATTTGTGATAGAAGAAGAACAGAAGGGAGTTCGATGTGTGGTCTTACTACAGGGTTCACTGCCTTTGTTGAATCGCAACATATTTATGGGAACCTGAGATTCAAAAAACCTGGCTCTTTTATGGGATGGATTTTGTTTGGCCCAGTAACAGAATCCAGTCCATCTCTGATGTCAGTAGTCTCTTTGGCCAACCAAAAACTGACAGAAGCAAAAATAAAAAACAACAAACCTGACAGAATCTACTTCCAGCTTCCCTAACAACTCTGAAGCTTACATTTAAAAAGGCCTGGGAAGTTCAGACCAGCCTGATCATTGTTCAGAATGGCATAACTGGAGAAAGATTATTCACAGTCAAAACAACAGATTACTGTCCATTCAAGGTTATCTGTTCGGGTGTAAAGAGTGGTAGAAGTAGAAGTAGTAGTAGTAATAATAATAATAATAATAATAATTTATTATTTATACCCTGCCCATCTGGCTGGGTTTCCCCAGCCACTCTGGGCGGCTTCCAATAGAATATTAAAATACAATAACCTATTAAACATTAAAAGCTTCCCTAAACAGGGCTGCCTTCAGATGTCTTCTAAAAGTCTGGTAGTTGTTTTTCTCTCTGACATCTGGTGGGAGGGCGTTCCACAGGGCGGGTGCCACTACCAAGAAGGCCCTTTGCCTGGTTCCCTGTAGCTTTGCTTCTCGCAGTGAGGGAACCACCAGAAGGCCATTAGAGCTGGACCTCAACATCCGGGCTGAACGATGGAGGTGGAGATGCTCCTTCAGGTATACTGGGCCAAGGCCGCTTAGGGCTTTAAAGGTCAGCACCAACACTTTGAATTATGCTCAGAAACGTACTGGGAGACAGTGTAGGTCTTTCAGGACCGGTGTTATATGGTCTCGGCGGCCGCTCCCAGTCACCAGTCTAGCTGCCGCATTCTGGATTAGTTGTAGTTTCCGGGTCACCTTCAAAGGTAGCCCCACATAGAGTGCATTGCAGTTGTCCAAGCGAGAGGTAACTAGAGCATGCACCACTCTGGCGAGACAGTCCGCGGACAGGTAGGGTCCCTGACTGTGTACCAGATGTGCAGTTGAGCTACATCAAAATATTGGAAGATCATCACAGATAGGTACTGAATTTCAAAAAAGAGATTATCATCCAACAGGGAGCCTTACTCAGAAAAGCCATGATCCTGCAATTGTCCTCCATGACTTCGTTATGCAGAGCTCTCTGGTCAGCATCCAGCAACGCCCACTCCTCATCTGTGAAATAAACTGCTACCTCTTCAAAGCAAACTGTACCCTAAAAAAAAAGAAAAATGTCCTCCTCTTAGGTAAAGGAAAAGGTACCCCTGCCCGTACGGGCCAGTCTTGTCAGACTCTAGGGTTGTGCGCTCATCTCACTCTAGAGGCCGGGAGCCAGCGCTGTCCGCAGACACTTCCGGGTCACGTGGCCAGTGTGACATCGCTGCTCTGGCGAGCCTGCACCAGAGCCGCACACGGAAACGCCGTTTACCTTCCCGCTATAAAGCGGTACCTATTTATCTACTTGCACTTAAGAGTGCTTTCGAACTGCTAGGTGGGCAGGAGCTGGGACCGAATGACGGGAGCTCACCCCGCCGCAGGGATTCGAACCGCCGACCATACGATCGGTAAGTCCTAGGCACTGTGGTTTTACCCACAGCACCACAGCACCACCCCTGTCCCGACCTCCTCTTAGAGAGCATAAATATTATTTACACATTGCTCTGTTGTTTTCCGCCTGTTAATTGTTTGTTGTTGACAGAATATGCGCAGCTTGCAGACTTAACAAATAGAATAAGACAACAAGAAGAACATAGGTTTGGAGAAGATTGGAAAACGTTTATTGAATATATGGGAAATAACTGTTTACAGCTGAAAACGCTGGCAGCATTAATATAAATTCAACAGTGTAAATAAGCTTTGATGGATGCAATAATGGAATACTGAATGGTATAGTTTTTGTAAAACATGCAGCGATTTATGATATGTGATATGAACCATGGAAAGACTACAAGGGAAGTCATTGATATTTTAAAGGTAAAGGTAAAGGGACCCCTGACAGTTAAGTCCAGTCATGAATGACTCTGGGGTTGCGGTGCTCATCTTGCTTTACTGGTCAAAGGAGGTGACGTTTGTCCACAGACAATTTTTCTGGGTCATGTGGCCAGCATGACTAAGCCGCTTCTGGTGAAATCAGAGCAGTGCACGGAAACGCCGTTTACCTTCCCGCCAGAGCAGTACCTATTTATCTACTTGCACTTTGACGTGCTTAAGGATGTAAAAATGAGAATTTTAAATTGCAAAACAGAAAATTTAATTAAAATATTATTATATATAGGGAGAGAGCTAGAGAGAGAGAGTTTGTTGTTTTAATGGAATTGTTTTGCTGGACATTTTAATTATGCATGCTTATTTTAATGTTTTAATGAGATTTTTTTGTTGTGCGTTTTAATGGTGGGCATTAATCGTTGTATAAATGGGTGGAACTCAACAGTCTGCTCTCCAAATCATTCTGTCTGCGTGGGCATTCAAGTTTGCAAGATGGAAGGATCCCCTCTCCACTCTCTCCAAATGCCTTTTTTTTGGGGGGGGGGATGCCCGAAAGCCAACTTCAAGGGGCATAAGGGGGGGCGGAAGGAAATGGCGAAAGTCCTATGGTGCAACTGATGGGGTGGTTAGGTGAATCCTGGATGCTGTTTGCTGTGGTTTGCAAACTACTTAGAAGTCTATTTTAGCATCAAACAATGAATATATAAATAAAACTCCAAGTACCGATAAATGATGCTAATGATATTCAGAAGGCTAGTTAAGGTGAGGCGGCTGTTATTCTCAGCACATAAACCTTATTGAATAGCTTTTCCAGCTTTTGTTAAGGGCAGCTTTGACAGAACCAAAGAGGAGGAGAGAAATTCGTTCGAGCCCAGAGGCACCCAACTGCCCCTCTCTTCAGCCTCTTTCCCCACAATGCTCCTTTCTCTTACCTGACCTGGTTCCACAGCCGCTGCTTCCCCTCGGCCACCATGAAATGATGGATGAGGAGGTCCTGCTGGCATCATTCTGTCACCTGCGACAGACAAAGGTAATTTGGGAAGCCATTCTCTCAGAGGTTAAGCAGAGCATCTCTAACTACAGGTGGGCCTTCGAAACGGTCTCACCTGCTGACTGCATGTGCATGTTTACACCCATTTTATACTTTAGTTGTGTAAAAATACATCTCTCCTCCCTTGGGCTTTCGGACCCAAGTGTAAAAGACCATAGCTGTCAACGTTTACCTTTTTTTTGCGAGAAGCAAAGCTACAGGGAACCAGGCAGAGGGCCTTTTCGGTAGTGGCGCCCGCCCTGTGGAACGCCCTCCCATCAGATGTCAAAATGATAAACAACTACCTGACATTCAAAAGACATCTTAAGGCAACCCTGTTCAGGGAAGTTTTTAATGTATGATATTTTAGTGTTTTTTGGTTTCTATGGAAGCCGCCCAGAGTGGCTGGGGAGGCCCAGCCAGATGGGCGGGGTATAAATAATAAATTATTATTATTATTATTCCGAATAGGATTCCTCGCAAGAAAAGGGAAAAGTTGACAGCTATGAAAAGGACTCACAGATTAGTTTCAAAATCAACAGGATGTGACCAAACGGAGAGAGAAAAAAGGATTCATCCTTACCCAGCGGCCTTTCTCTGGTTTCCAACTGAGTCTTCTTCATCTCACAGTAGCCAGTGCCCATTTCTGCAAACAGATCCTTTTTCTGTAAGAGCAACAAGGATTCAAAACAAAGAGTGGGGAGAAGGATTAGAAAAACACCGGCAGAGGCAAAAACTTTAAGGGTATCAGGATGCTTTTCGAAAAAGGGATGGGCAATTAGTAGAGAATTTTGGGAGACTCTCCCTCATGTTCTGAGCCCCTTGGGATTATCCAGAGGAAAGTCTCTCTCACCTGCTGCTCAGCCTGACTCAGGAGGAAACCTTCGGCCAGGGCCACCGCCTGGGAACTGGTCTCCGCTCCACATTCCCTCACCCAGCTCTCCATCTCTGGGGGGAGGATAGCCAAGAACTGCTCCAAGATCACCAGGTCCAGCATCTGAGCTTTCGTGTGCCTTTCTGGCTTCAGCCACTGGCGGTAAAGGTGGTAGAGTCGGCTGCAAACGTCTCGGGGTCCCTCGGCCTCCTGGTAGCAGAACTGCCTGAACTGCTGGCTCTGGACATTTGAGCTGGGGGTGTCCTCCTCACCTAGGATCTTCTGCACAGAGTTTTCCCAGAATCCCCCACTGCTCCCAGTTTGGATGGCATTGCCCCTTCCTGCTTCAGGGCCAGCTGAGTCTTGTTCATCCATATGGGATCTCAGGAAGCCTCCAAAGGATCTGAAGGAATCCTTTTGTCTTATGCCAAGTTCTGTCTGTCCTAATTTGAGGTGCTACCAAACCTACAGAGCAAATACATAATTCTGTTGTAAAACTTAAAACACTGTCAGGAGAAGCAAAATGTTCCCCGAGCAAGCATAGCTGCACCTTGCTAAGAACCAGGGCTAGACAGTACCAGCCCAGACTCTGTGATTGTCAGTTGTTTTAAACCGGAAGCTGTCCAGTGTGGCTGGGGCAACCCAGTCAGATGGATGCCATAATAATGACGACAATGACAACAACACAACAACAACAAACAACAACGGGTCAGGTCCGCAATCTTTCCATATGAACCTATCTTCTGAGGCCCTCCTTCGTGTGCCCCCTCCTCAAGAGGTTCAGAGGGTGGCAACGTGAGAACAGGGCCTTCTCTGCAGTGGCTCCCAGTCTGTGGAATGCTCTCCCCAGGGAAGTTCGCCTTGCGCCTTCATTATACACCTTTCGGCACCAGGCAAAAGCGTTCCTTTTCAACCAGGCCTTTGGTTGACGCTATTTACACCCTATGCCCTTTTAAAATGTTTTGTTTTGGGGGTGGCTATTGGGTTGTTGTTTTTATTTTTATTTGGTATTTTGTGGCTTTTGTGATTTGATTTTGTGAACCGCCCTGAGACCCCCCGGGTATAGGGTGGTATATAAATTCAATAAATAGTAGTAGTAATACTAATAATACAGTGGTACCTCGGGTTAAGTACTTAATTCGTTCCAGAGGTCTGTACTTAACCTGAAACTGGTCTTAACCTGAAGCACCACTTTAGCTAATGGGGCCTCCTGCTGCCGCCGCGCTGCCAGAGCACGATTTCTGTTCTCATCCTGAAGCAAAGTTCTTAACCTGAAGCTCTATTTCTGGGTTAGCAGAGTCTGTAACCTGAAGCGTATGTAACCCGAGGTACCACTGTAATAATAGTAATTAGTAGTAGTAGTAGTGTTTTCATGTTGTAACTTGCCCATGGAAATTAGGGTGATGGGTGGTTTAATAATAATTATAATTATAATTATAATGTTACATCATTTAACCCCCCCCAGCCATATATGCTTGAGGGTACTCCTGGAGCTAACATTGCCACCTGAAGCTCAGGTGTCCTATTAAAGGCGCTCACTTAGGTCCCAAATATCTGAAGACCCACCTCCTTCCCACAGACCATCTTGGGTGTTCAGGTTGGCAGAGGGGCCCCTCTTTGTAGTTTCACCACCCTCAAGAGTTTGGGGTGGTTGTGGTGCAAGAGAGGGCATCCTTGCGGTGGTTCCTAGGTTAGGGAGTTCCTTCCCCAGAGGGACACGCCTGGCGCCTTCTCCTCTGACACCTGATCCATGTGTCTTCTGGACCCACCCTATTCCCGTGACTCTAATTTGTTCCAACTCTTTTAAATACAGTGGATGCTCAGGTTGCGAACGTGATCCGTGCGGGATGCAGGTTCGCAACCCGCAGCAGCTTGTCTGTGCACGCGCGGATTGCAATTCGGTGCTTCTGCGCATGCGCAAAGCGTGATTTAACACTTCTGCGCATGCGCAACCGCCAAAACCTGGAAGTAAACCGTTCCTGTACTTCCGGGTTTCGGCGATCTGTAACCCAGAAAAACACAACCTGATGCGTCTGTAACCCGAGGTATCTGTATTGAATTCTAAACCCGCCCTGGGTAATAAATAAATAAATAAATAAATGTAGCAACAGCAATAATCATGGGCATAGTCAGGATTTAAATGTGGGAGGGGGCAGGACACCCACCTGACATCATTCTCTGTCTGGCTCTGCCTAGCAGAATCAGAATGAAATGTCTTGACAACAGTTGTTTTAAATTACTTTCTGTTGACCCCAAGTGTTCAGAAAAATCGCTCAAAAGCTTTCTACTCTTAGTTAAGTGTTTTTATTTATTTACTTGATAGGGAGGGGCAGCTGCCCCCCCCCAGGCCTACACCCATGGCAATAATAACAACCTCAACAATAATATCATAAAGCCACAAATGTGGGGGGAAATGCCTCAATAATACACACATAGAGCCTCAAGAAAGTGGGGTGTGGGAGCCTGTTGGAATTTGCAGGCTTCCCCCCCCCCTTTGAGGTTTTGCATAACTAACCACACACACTTTACAGCACGAGAGGAAGAAAACAAACCTTAAGAAAACAAATATATAGGCCTCATCTGCACTACATATTTTAAAGAGTCATGGCGTCCTCCAAAGGATCCTGGGCACCATATTTTAAGGATGCAGTGGGTTGCTAGGAGACACCCACCCAGATCCACACATGCATTCCAGTTACACGGCTGCCATCCCTAGAGTGGTTTAACAATCAACCCTTCTTGCCAGGGAACCCTGGGAATTGGTGGGGTTAAAATAAAATAAAATTGGAATAAAGGTAAAGGGACCCCTGACCATTAGGTCCAGTCGTGGCCGACTCTGGGGTTGCGGCGCTCATCTCGCTTTATTGGCCGAGTTCTGGGTCATGTGGCCAGCATGACGAAGCCGCTTCTGGCGAACCAGAGCAGCGCACGGAAACGCCGTTTACCTTCCCGCTGGAGCGGTACCTATTTATCTACTTGCACTTTGACGTGCTTTCGAACTGCTAGGTTGGCAGGAGCAGGGACCGAGCAATGGGAGCTCACCCCAGCGCGGGGATTCGAACTGCCAACCTTCTGATCGGCAAGCCCCAGGCTCTGTGGTTTAACCCACAGCGCTACCCACCTCCCACTAAATAGGGCATCCCTATTTTCACAGGAGAAATGTTGGAGGGTATTATTATTTTCTCCACCCAGCAACTGCCGGTCAGAAGCACGGTTGCTGCCCATCTCCTGCAGCCGCGAGTTCCACAGTTCTGACTACGCACCGCAGCAGGGGAAAAGCGCTTTCCTCCCTCAATTTCCCAATGGCCATTATTTCTTTTCATCTCTATAGGTCAGGTATTCATTTTTAATTTTTTTTTAAAAAACGTGTATTCTATGCCCAAAGGTTTCCGCCCGGCTACGACCTTTGCTACCGATGTGACTTACTGTATTCCCAAATGTGGTTTGTTTGCATTCCGTTCCCCCTCCCCCGCCTTAAAGACCCACCCTCTCCCCAAAGTGGCAAAGGGAGACTAGAGCTGCAGACCTATTGCAAACTCGCCCCCTCCCTGGCATTGCAGAGAGGGAGGGGGGACTTCCAGTGGAGTAGCGTGGGTTGTCAGCACCCGGGGCAAGGCAAGTAATTTGCGCCCCCTAACCCGTGGATTTGCGCCCCCTAACCCTAACCCCCAGATGTTGCGCCCGGTGCAGCCGGCCCCCCCTGCACCCCCCACGCTACGCCACTGGGGACTTCTGCTCCCTGATTTGGGGGTGGTGGCCGGGGGGCTGCCCCCCCATCATTAGCTGAACACCCCCCCCCATGGATGCTCCCCCTGCAGCCCTGGGACACCCCCTTTCTCCCCAATGCATGCTATGGAAGAAAGGAAGAAGACTCACCAGATCCCTAAGGCACTTCAGACACAAAAGCCCCCGCCAGCTCCCTTTGCAGGAAGGGAATTCAGAGGGAGGTGCTTTTGCTCTGGAGGACTTCGCCCCCCACTTTATTTCCCCGTCCTCTCTAGGAATCCAGCTCACTTCTTTTTAACCCTTGGCAAGCCGAGCGCACCAAGCTGGCGCCTCTCTCCCTCTCTGCGCCAGGAGCCAAGGAGGCGCACTGCAGATGCCTTAATTTTGGGGGGATCCCCTTGACTGGGTTTCTGAGCTGTCACCTCCCTTGGCCAGAAACAGCTTGCAGTGAAGTAGGCTCTGCAAGGATGTAGGAAGCCCCATCGTAGAATCATAGGCTTGTAGAGCTAAAAGGGAACCCCAAGGGTCATCCAGACCAGCCCTCTGCAAAGCAGGTGCAATAAACAAAAATCTGCCCTTATTCCCTAATGGGGTGTCCAAGAGCCCGTATAGAGTCCTTTGTAGGTTCTCCATCGGTCGGAGAAAATAACAGAGGCCAACCAGAGAATACAGTGGTACCTTGGGTTAAGTATTTAATTCGTTCTGGAGGTCCGTACTTAACCTGAAACTGTTCTTAACCTGAAGCACCACTTTAGCTAATGGGGCCTCCTGCTGCCGCCACGCGATTTCTGCTCTCATCCTGAAGCGAAGTTCTTAACCTGAGGTACTATTTCTGGGTTAGCGGAGTCTGTAACCTGAAGCGTATGTAACCTGAAGCGTATGTAACCCGAGGTACCACAGTACTGAGAAGCAAAGCAGCTCGTAAGCCTGATCTTTATTGAACTGTTGCAACAGGGTACTCCCCTCACACGCAGGAAAGGAGGACCCAGAACCAAGGTGTGCCTGCCCTTATATAGACATTTTAAATTCCCTGCCCTGGAGTGCCAGACCACCCCTCCATATATCATACACACATCACAGAAGGGGTGTAACCCAAGACCACCCGCCACAAACATCATACCTACATCACAGAAAAGGTGATCTACAACAGAAATTTGAATGTTGCTGTTTTTCCTGTTTGCCAGGTTATCTGATAATGCCTTATCTGATTGCCTTTCCTGGTAGTCTGGCCATTTCTTTGAGATGGTGATTTCCCAATTCCTGAGACAATGGGAAGGTTCCCTCCTTGCAGAGAAAACATCTGGTCAGTTTGGGAGTCAAAATGGTTTCAGGGAGGACTTCCTGTGCTGCTCCAGACATGTGGTCCACATGTACGTGCTTGGTCGGTACATTTATGAATATTTATTATATATATATAAGACCTTAAATTTTGTATTTCACAGGACTCTCAACTCAAAGCATACATGACAGGGGACCAACTAACCTCTGCTTAAAAACCTCCAAGGAAGGAGAGTCTGCCACTTCCCGATGAAGACCATTCCACTGTCAAACAGCTCTTACACAGTTCTGATGTTTAGTCAGAATCTTCTTTTTTTGGGGTCATTTGGGTCTATTATTTTGAGTCCAGGCCTCTGGACCACAGAAAACTAGCCGCGTGACAGCCCGTTAACTATTAGAAGATGGCTCTCATACCTCCCATTCAGCCAGATCTCAGCTGAATGGTGAGCAAGGCTCCTTCTTTTTCTGTGACTGACACCTGTCCCATTAAATATTTTTAATTGCGTTTTAGTTCCTTCTCTTGCTCCTCATATTCTATTGCACTGCAGTTCAACTTCTGTAGGAATGTGGTTAAGATGCAATATGTAAGATATAAAAGAAACCATAGAAATACAATGAAAAGACCCATCATGAATGCTTTACTTGAGAGTCCTGCATCGGAGGGGGTCCCTAGGATTAGACTTCTAACCTGGAACTCTGGCTAAATTGGCATACAAACTGCGAGACAAGGACAACTGTGACTTTAAAGAAGAATGGGAACTTTTCCACTAAGTATTTAAAAATACAACAAAATGAATTGGACTCCTTGGCAGGTTTTGGATAAACATACACAAATTTATTGATTGATAACATGGTAGATAGATAATATAAGGATTGATATAACTTTATAATATGCAGAGAATAACATGTGCTGAGAAATCAGAGAGAGGAGATGAGGGAAGTGGGGGGGGGGTTTGATGGGGAGTGGGGAAAAAGGGGGGAAATGATGAATATGATATGTTTTGATATATTGTTATGTTGAAATTGTTTATATTCTCTCTCTCTCTCTCTCTCTCTCTCTCTCTCTCTCTAGCCTCTGGAACTCACCGCCAGATGATTCCTCCTCCTCCTCCCAGGCACTGATGAAGCAACAAGCCTGGCCGGGGTCACCCCCAGAATTTGGTGGTGGCCAGGAAACGGATTGCACAAATCACCCCTTTCCTCCACCTTCTTCTCACCCCTTTCCCTTGCTCAGCACATGAAACAAATATTTGCAGCGGGATCTTCAGGAGAGGCAGACCTTGCAAAGGAGGTTCGTGCTGTTGCTCCCGCTTTGCTCCGGTTATATTACGGGGTGCGAGCGGAGGAACCCCAAAAGCCTGAGCCGGATCAAATGATTTGGAAACGGCGGTGGCTGTAGTCAGCTTTGAGTGGCAAGACAAAAATAAATAAATAAACCCACCTCAGGGTTAATGGGAGAGAGTCCGGATGCCTAGAAACGCAGCTAGGCACCCACTTCCTGCCCCCCCATCTCCCTCCTCCCCCCATCTGCAGCCTTCGCGCCCCTTCCCCGCCCACCTCTCCAAGGGATCGGGGTGAGTGCAAAGTGCATTTGGGTGGGGAGGCGAAATGGAAGTGGGGGGGGCGATGGAAGGAGGGGAAAATGAGGGCGGGATTGGGGGGGGCTCTTGCGTTAAAAGCAAATGCAAAGGGCATTGGGGTGCAAGGGAACCCCGAGGGCCGGAGGAGAGAAGATGCAAAGGGGTGCTGGTGTTGCACTGGGAAGAAAGAGCGCCTGAGATTCCCCGCCCCATAGCATAGGATGGTGTGCCTTATCTGGGTCCGGTCTAGCCTATCTACTCCAGGACATTGACTCTTATAGAACATTACAGGTTGCCAGATTCCTGAATTCAGTTCTTTCATATAAAAGACTTCATGGAATGCTGCATGACTATTAAAAATCTAGTAAACTCTATCCATCATCTTTATATTCAAGGCCACAATATGGTACATCTAGAGATCGTATGTAATGTGAAGGAGATTATGCGTTGAAATATTTTAGTTGATATTTTAGAACGTAAAATGCTATTTTATTTATTGATTGGTTTTACCTTGTGGGCTTATAGCCGAATAAAGTATTATCTATCTATCTATCTATCTATCTATCTATCTATCTGGGTCCGGCATTAACCGAGAGCCCAAATTTTTGAGGCGTCACCCCGAGCAACCGCCTCATCTGTTGCCTCTTCTCCATCTCCAAGGAAACCAGCTGAGTGAAAAGCACGTAAAGGATTATCTGGGACTGAAATGGGGGGCGGGGAGCTTTGGGGTGGGAAGGAGGAGGAGGAAAAGACTGGGGAGATCTCCTCCACCCCACCCCACACCTCCAAAGGGAGATGGGCTTTGCAACGGACCCATCTGCATTCATTCCATTCTTACTCCGTTCTGCATCAGTATAAATATGTTACTCACTACTTTTGGGGCGTTGAATTTGTGTCTGTGTGTCTTCAGGTTGGTGGGGAAATGATATGCATATAAACCAAAGCCAAACGTATTAATAATGTCAGCAATATCTAGGCAACACGATGACCATGTACATATGCAATAGACAATCTTTATAGAATTCCTTTAAGAATTTAAGAATTCTTCGTCGGTGAAAAAGTAGTCCATATCCGGAATCACTGTTCCGTGTTGGACATCCTATTTGCTGAATACACAAAGCTTCACAGCTTGTCTTTCATCGTGCAAAGTTTGGTACCTCGCTTCATTTAAAGATTTTCAGAGACTTTGAGACTAAAGATTTCATTTTGTCCTTGTTATGGTTTAAAGGAATTCTATAAAGATTGTCTATTGCGTATGTACATAGTCATCGTGTTGCCTAGATATTGCTGACGTTCTCTTTGCAACACAGGGGTTTGGTTACTTAGACATGTACTAATGAGGCAGATATATGAATAGTGAGTGGAGCTGGACAGAAACATTTGGACATGAAATATGCATAAAAATAAAAACTCGACCTGTTCAAGTAATGGCACAATGGGTCATTGTATCTCTCTGTTAACCAGAAGGCGGGTGGTTTAAACTCTCCCGGGGACGGCTGTGGGCAGGATTCCTGCATCGCAGGGGGTCAGACTAAATGACCCACTGGACCCCTTCCAATTCCACAGCTCTATGATTCTAATCAAGCATACAGAAAAGAAAACAACAACAGAATCTTAAATCTCAAGGGAAGCCACATGAACTTGTCTATAAATCGTAAAACGATACCCGGGGCTCCTTTGGAATTCCCACATCTTGGTGCTTATTTTCTTCTCCCTTCCCCTCTGCTAAGCGAGCTCTTTGTGAGGTGGGGGAGCAGACACACACACACACACACACACACACACACACAGACAGCCAGGCTCAGTGAGGAGGGGGCATCCTGTATGGGAGGGATTATTTGGGTTGCTACAGTGCCAGAGATGCTCTGTCATTTTGCCTGAATGTGCACCGGATCAGGGTTTGGGTCTGTGAAACCCACTGCAGTCCTCTGAGTTCTCCAGACTCAGGTCTTGCAGTTCTCATTTGCCTTCCTTGCAGGGACGAGTCCCTGTCTACCCAGAATCCTCCAGTGCTTCTTGCAAAGCCGCCTACCATTTGGTCCATGCGGTGGTCTCACTCTGAAGGACTTGAGACCTTTGCAAGATGTCGCCATCACTTCCTCCTTACTCAAGTATCTAGTCCTTTCTCTTCCTTCTTTGCAGGCACCGGTCCTGGTCTCTATTCAGAATCCTCCAGTGCTTCTTGCATAGCTTTCTCCAGTTCCAGGCATGTGAAAAGGGCTTTTTCTCCCACCAGAACTCACCGGAACTTGGGTGGGTGACATTGCTATTCTAAGAGAACAAGGGAGGCATTCGTGGTGAGTTCTGGCGCTTCTTTTTCTAGAAAAATAGCACTGTGTGTGACAACATCAACATCAAATTATTATTATTATTATTATTATTATTATTAATACCATGCCCATCTGGCTGGGTCTCCCCAGCCACTCTGGTTGGTTCCCAAAATAATAATAATAATAATAATAATAATAATAATAATAATTTATTTATACCCTGCCCATCTGTCTGCGTTTCCCCAGTCACTCTGGGTAACTTCCAACAGAATATTAAAATACAGTAGTCTATTAAACATTAAAAGCTTCCCTAAACAGGGCTTCCTTCAGATGTATTGTAAAAGTCTGGTAGTTGTTGTTCTCTTTGACATCTGGTGGGAGGGCGTTCCACAGAGCGGGTGCCACTACCGAGAAGGCCCTCTGCCTGTTTCCCTGTAACTTGGCTTCTCGCAGCGAGGGAACCGCCAGAAGGCTCTTGGCACTGGACCTCAGTGCCTGGCTTAACGATGGGGGTGGAGATACTCTTTCAGGTATACTGGGCCGAGGCCGTTTAGGGCTTTAAAGGTCAGCACCAACACTTTGAATTGTGCTTGGAAACGTACTGGGAGCCATTGTAGGTCTTTCAAGACCAGTGTTATGTGGTCTCGGCTGCTTAAAAATAAGATAAAACATCAAACATTAAAAACTTCCCTAAACAGGGCTGCCTACAGGTGTCTTCTAAAAGTCAGGTAGTTGTTTATTTCCTTGACATCTGATGGGAGAGCATTCCACAGGGCGGGCACTAAAACCTAGAAGGCCCTCTGCCTGGTTCCCTCACAGTGAGGGGACTGCCAGTAGGCTCTTGGAGCTGGACCTCAGTGTCCGGGCTGAACGATGGGGGTGGAGACGCTCCTTCCGGTCTTGAGTCCTTTGCAAGATGTTGTCACCTCCTCTTTACCCAAGTTTCTAGTCCTCTTTGGGTCCCAATCTATACCCAGAATCCTCCTGTGCTTCTTGCAGACTCCTCTTCCTGAGAGGGGCGTGTGACACTTGCGCACCGAAGGAATCCACACATTTGCAAGGAGATGTCGTCGCCGTCTCCTCACCCCAAATTCAGGCCATCCTTGCCTCCGGACAGAAACTGGCATCAGAGCAAGGAGATCATCAGGGTCCTGTTAGAGGCTGAGCTGGAGCAGAGGTCAAAGGTGAAAGAGCAAGACTCGGACAGCTCCAAAGAGAGAAGAAGCCCCCAAATCGTCCAGGCGGGAGGCAGCAGCCAGGAATGCTGGGAAAGAAGAGAGCAGAAGATCCTGGACGAGGGCAACGCCAGCTCAGATGTACAACGCCAGCGTTTCAGGGCGTTCTGCTACCAGGAGGCCGAGGGGCCCCGAGAGGTTTGCGGCCGACTCCACAACCTCTGCTACCAGTGGCTGAAGCCAGAGCGGCACACCAAGAAGCAAATCCTGGACTTGGTGATCCTGGAGCAGTTCCTGGCTGTCCTCCCCCCGGAGATAGAGAGCTGGGTCAGGGATTGTGGCCCAAAGTCCAGTTCCCAGGCGGTGGCCCTGGCCGAAGGTTTCCTCCTGAGCCGGGCAGAGCACAAGAAGCAGGAGGAGGAGCAGGTGAGAAAGTGTTTCTTCCTAGTACTTCCAATGGGTTGAGAATGTGTGGGGACAGCCCCCTAAAAAGTCTCACCGGCCACCCATCTTTTCTCAGATGTTGCCCAAATAAGGGATTTATTGCTTGTCTCTTTAAAAGCGTTTCTAGACTGATAGAAAAACCTCCAGGTGGCAATAGATCAACTTAAAAACGAAAAGAATTCAAACTATTGACATCAGGCACTGTAAACTTTCCGGCGTCTGCTAAAAACAGTCTTATTTAGACATGCCTATGCAGATGTGTAGGGACGTGGGTGGCGTTGTGGTCTAAACCACAGAGCCTAGGGCTTGCCGGTCAGAAGGTTGGCAGTTCGAATCCCCGTGATGGGGTAAGCTCCCGTTGTTCGGTCCCTGCTCCTGCCCACCTAGCAGTTTGAAAGCACGTCAAAGTGCAAGTAGATAAATAGGTACCGCTCCGGCGGGAAAGTAAACGGCGTTTCCGTGCGCTGCTCTGGTTCACCAGAAGCGGCTTAGTCATGCTGGCCACATGACCTGGAAGCTGTACGCCGGCTCCCTCGGCCAATAAAGCGAGATGAGCGCTGCAACCCCAGAATCGTCCGCGACTGGACCTAACGGTAAGGGGTCCCTTTACCTTTACCTATGCAGATGTGTAGAAAATTGTGAACTTTATGTAAGTTCAAATAATAATAGACTAAGCGCATTTAAGGACGTGGGTGGTGCTGTGATCTAAACCACTGAGCCTAGGGCTTGCTGATCGGAAGGTTGATGGTTCGAATCCCCGCGACGGGGTGAGCTGCCATTGCTTGGTCCCAACACCTGCCAACCTAGCAGTTTGAAAGCACGTCAAAGTGCAAGTAGATAAATAGGTACTGCTCTGGCGGAAAGGTAAGCAGTGTTTCCATGCACTGCTCTGGTTCGCTGGAAGCAGTTTAGTCATGCTGGCCACATGACCTGGAAAAACTCTGCGGACAAATGTCAGCTCCCTCGGCCAGTAAAGTGGAATGAGTGTCGCAACCCCAGAGTCATTTGTGACTCTACTTAACTGTCAGGGGTCCTTTACCTTTTTAAGCGCATTTAAATGCATTTGCCAAAGACACACCTGGGAGTGTGTTGCAAGGTTTGGAATGTTTATACGGAAATCTGAATTCCTAGGCAGTTTGGAAATGGTTTCGATATAATATTTGTTGATTTGATTTAATGGCAACCTTGTCCATTGGCTGTTCTTCCCTTTTCCTACTACCTCTTTGCTCTCATAACCCTTTCTTCTGTTTCAGGCACAGATGACATTTTCCAAAGCAGCCACAGATTCCCCGGAGGCAGAAGATGCTCCGTTGAACATCACAAAGCGGCCACTTTTCCGGGGGATCGTGCAGGAGGCCGAAGGGGGTGCCTCCTCTCTTGGTAAGAAAAGGTCCTATTACAACATGGGTCCTATCTGCACCAAACATTTAAAACAGTCCTGTACCACTTTAAGCCATCATTCAGAGAACATGAACCTGTGTTTGCCTATTTCTTCCTCCCTCCCAATCCACCTTCCTTTTGTGCTGTGTCTTTCAAGATTGTAAGCCTGAGTGCAAGGACTTCTCTCTTTTCTTTTTCTTAACGTGATCAGCAAGAGGCTCTGGAAGTTGTTGCAGGCCTGAGCTCAATCGACCAATGGTCTGACTCTGTATGAGGCAGCGTCCTATGTTCCTGTGTGCATGCTTGATCTGCACATGTCGCACATGTGTGTTTATGCACATGCTCATACATTGGCCATGCCCACCACTGGCATGTGGGCCTCAGGGGGGTCCACAGACCCATCAGTGGTGGCCCTTGGGCCAAAGGAGGGCTAGCTAACCCTGCTATATCATCCACCTTCTTTGTCTTCCTTGTAGGAAGTAGGACAGCCCTCAGAGACAGCAAAATGGCCCTGGGGCGTCCCCTCATGCCTACTTCTCTTTGTGATGGACTGGAAGCAGCGTCCCTGCAGCCAGAACAGGTACAGAATAGAACTGTGGGTGCCTTTTCTCCTCTGCCCATCACTCTGGACCTAAAGATGGCAGCCATTTTCTTCTGTCAGAGCCGCTCACTAAGAAGGCTTTGAGCGCTGCTGATGACGCTTTGGGTCTTGCAGGAGATCCGCTAAGGCACCTCAGCTTTTCCTGTCTTCCTTTTTGTTGCTTTACCTGTGAGAAGTAAACATTTCCTCCTTCCTTCCTTTCTTTCTTCCTTCCTTCCAGGACCTCGTGACCTTTGAGGAGATGGCTGTACATTTCACAGCCTTCCACGGAGGCCGAGTGGGCTCTGCTGGACCAAGGCTGGAGGGGTCTGCACAGGGAAGCCATGGAGAACTTTGGAATTGTGGGAATCTGGCCTCTCTTGGTAAGTAAGCTTGTCAGGCAGAATTGCTACTACAGCTACTATGAGGTTAGCATTTATTTATTTTGTTGTTGTTGTTGTTTAGTCGTTTAGTCGCATCCGACTCTTCATGACCCCATGGACCAGAGCACACCAGGCACTCCTGTCTTCCACTCCTGTCTGACCACATGGTCAAACTCATGTTCGTAGCTTCGAGAACACTGTCCAACCGTCTCGTCCTCTGTCATCCCCTTCTCCTTGTACCCTCCATCTTTCTCAACATCAGGGTCTTTTCCAGTAAGTCTTCTCTTCTCATGAGATGGCCAAAGTATTGGAGCCTCAGCTTCACAATCTGTCCTTCCAGTGAGCAATCAGGGCTGATTTCCTTCAGAATGGAGAGGTTTGATCTTCTTGCAGTCCATGGGACTCTCAAGAGTCTCCTCCAGAACCAGAATTCTAAAGCATCAGTTCTTTGGGGATCAGCCTTCTTTATGGTCCAGCTCTTACTTCCATACATCACTACTGGGAAAACCATAGCTTTAACTATACAGACCTTTATTTACATCCCACCTTTTTGCTGGACCCAGGACTCAAGGCAGCTTACATAAATTACAACAAGTCAGATAAAAGGTGTGAAAAGTCAATCCTTGAAAATTAAATTACAATATAAACAATATAACTCCCCCCCAATCTATTAGAATATAGTGGTTTCTTGGTTGTCAAACTTAATCCATTCGACTCCCGGAACCGTTTGAAAACCAAGGCTCTGCTTCCGATTGGCTGCAGGAGCTTCCTGCACTCAACTGGAAGCCGGGTCAGACATTCGGCTTCTGAAAAAGTTCGCAAACTGGAATACTTGCTTCCGGGTTTCTGGCGTTCGGGAGCTGATCTGTTTGGGAGTCAAGCCACTTGACAACCAAAGTACCAATGTACAGATAATAAAGAAGGAAAACTCTGATTTTTTTTATATATGTAATAATTTTTATTGTGTTTTCCATATTTGTCATAATCACATTTTGTTACATACATCAATAACCTTAAACATGGCTCGACTGAGCACCGACCTCCTTCCCTCCCTCTTTCTGACTTCCGAACATCTTTACTAAATTCTTAGCATCTCTATAACCCCCTTTTTACTTTCTATCTTCCTTTAACATTTCACCTCATTATATGTAAATGAGCTCCTTATATTCACATTACAAAACATTTCAACTCAAACCTACAAACGTTTTTCAATGTTTGCAATCTTCTTTCATATAAAATATAAATTTGCTCCAGTCCTTTTAAAATAGTTCGTCGCGCTGATTCTGGATCTTCCATGTCAGCTTTGCCAACTCTACGTATTCCACCATCTTTATCTGCCATTCTGATCCTAAGGCTCTGCTCTCTTGTGAGATATCTTTGGGAGGAAAAAAGACTTGGGAGTAAACCATACTCCTCAATGGAGTCCCTAAGAGGGTTGGATGGCAGCTTGTTTGCCTCCTTCCGGCAACTCCTGCAACCAAGCTTGTGCCAAATGTCTTGCTCTGCTTTCCTTCGGACCACATCAACGAGGACGATGGGGAGATCTTGCCAGTTAGTGGCCGAAAGGCTTCTCAGGAGAAAGAAATTTTCTCTGGCAGTGAAAGGAAAGCAGAGAAGGGCGGTAAAATACAAGGCAATGTGACCATTAGAAAAACTGCAGCGCAGATTCCTAAAAGTATTTCGCCAACAATAACTGTGAAAAGGACAAAACTGTTCGTGAGTTTTAAAGGAATAATAATAATAATAATAATAATAATAATTTTTTATTTATACCCCGCCCTCCCCAGCCAAGGCCGGGCTCAGAGCGGCTTACAAGCAATAATAAAAACAAGATGAGTGATTACAACTTAAAAACAAAAATAAAATACAACATTAAAATAATGGAACATTAAAATATTAAAATGAAGCCTCATTGCAGGAGAAGGAAAAGAAAAAGAAAAAAAGGGGGGGGGGGAATCAAATTGGCTCCGATCCAAAGGCCAGGCGGAACAACTCTGTCTTACAGGCCCTGCGGAAAGAAATCAGATCCTGCAGGGCCCTGGTCTCATGAGACAGAGCGTTCCACCAAGTTGGGGCCAGTGCTGAAAAGGCCCTGGCTCTGGTTGAAGCCAATCTAACTTCCTTAGGGCCTGGGACCACTAGGGTGTTGTTATTTATGGACCTTGAGGCTCTCCGTGGGGCATACCAGGCGAGGCGGTCCCGTAGGTACGAGGGTCCTAGGCCGTGAAGGGCTTTAAAGGTCAAAAGCAACACCTTAAATCTGACCCTGTACTCCACCGGGAGCCAGTGCAGCTTGAAAAGCACTGGATGAATATGCTCCCATGGCAGAGACCCCGTGAGGAGCCTCGCTGCAGCATTCTGTACCCGCTGGAGTTTCTGGGACAGCTTCAAGGGCAGCCCCCGCGTAGAGCGAATTACAGTAGTCAAGCCTGGATATGACTGTCGCATGGATCACTGTGGCCAGGTCGGGGCGGGAAAGGTAAGGGACCAACTGCTTGATGCGGCGAAGGTGGAAAAATGTCGCCTTGGCTGTTGCTGTGACTTGCGCCTCCATGGAAAGGGAGGCGTCAAGGATTACACCCAAACTCTTAACGGAAGGCAATGGCACTAATTGGGCCCCCGCAAGAGAAGGGAGTTGGTCCCTCAACCCCATGCTATCCCGACCTAGCCATAGGACCTCTGTCTTCGAAGGATTTAGTTTCAATCGGCTCCCACGAAACCATCCAGCCACAGCTTCCAAGCATCTGGTCAGTGTGTAAGGGGCCGAGTTGGTGTGGCCATCCATCAGCAGATAGAGCTGAGTGTCATCAGCATATTGATGACAGCCCAGCCCAAAGCTCCGGATAATCTGGGCAAGGGGGCACATAAAGATGTTAAAAAGCATTGGGGAGAGAATTGCGCCCTGCGGCACTCCACACACCAAGGAGTGGCGTGATGACATTTCCCTCCCTAGTGCCACCCTCTGTCCCCGACCAGAGATAAAAGAGCACAACCAGTTACGGGCTATGCCCTGTATCCCCACGTCTGCAAGGCGATGGTCCAGAAGATCATGATCGACCATGTCAAAGGCTGCTGACAAGTCTAAAAGGATCAGCAGTCCTGACCCGCCTCGATCCAGTTGTCTACGGATATCATCTGTTAGGGCAACCAGAGCCGTCTCCGTCCCAAAACCAGGACGGAAACCGGACTGAAATGGATCTAATGCCGATGTTTCCTCCAGAAACCTACCAAGCTGTTCAGCAACCGCTCTCTCAATTACCTTACCCAGGTATGGAAGATTTGAAACTGGGCGGTAATTGGATAGGTCTAAGGGATCTAATGAAGTTTTCTTTAAGAGTGGACGCACCACTGCTTCCTTCAGTTCCCCTGGGAATGTCCCCGTGTCAAGGGACAAATTGATAATTTCTACCAGGGGGGTCCGCACAACATCTGGACACTCCCTAATCAACCAAGACGGGCACGGATCAAGGAGGCAGGTGGTGGGCCTACCAACTTGGAGGAATCTATCCACATCAGTAGGGAGTATCCGATCGAAATGGTCCAACACTGGACCTGAAGTCAGTCGAGGGGCCTCCAGTTCAGTCACTGTATCTAAATTGGCAGGGGAGGTCACGGCGGAGCAACAGGACTTTCTCCGCAAAAAAGCTCGCGAATGCCTCACAGCTGTGGGTCGAATTTGTGCTTAAATTTGGTTGTCCTCCTAAGGACGTTATTGACCTAATTATTCTAAAAAGTTGTGCCGGGCGAGAGCTAGCGGATGCAATGGAAGCTGCAAAGTAAGATTTCTTACAATAACTGTGAAAAGGACAAAACTGTTCGTGAGTTTTAAAGGAAGGGGGGGGTGATCAGTGAGGCGTCACATTCTTTGGTGCGTATGTTCAAGACTTAATAACAATAGCAATTTCTTGTGTGACAACGGGTGGATTGTGATTTTAATTTTTATCTCCTTTTTTATTGTGTGTCTATAGCTATACATATTTAATTATTGTAACATATACAGTAGTACCTCAGGTTACGTACGCTACAGGTTACATACGCCTCAGGTTACAGACTCTGCTAACCCAGAAATATTACCTTGGGTTAAGAACTTTGCTTCAGGATGAGAACAGAAATTGTGCTCTGGCGGCATGGCAGCAGGAGGCCCCATTAGCTAAAGTGGTGCTTCAGGTTAAGAACAGTTTCAGGTTAAGGACGGACCTCCAGAACGAATTAAGTACTTAAGCCGAGGTACCACTGTGTGTGTGTGTATGTGTGTGTGTATATATATATATATATAGAGAGAGAGAGAGAGAGAGAGATATGAAGCCCACTTTGATTTTTTAAATGAAATTGCTGTATTTGAAGTGTTTTTTTAAAATAAATAAATAAATAAATACATCATATGGGATAAAAATTAGAGCCAGTTCACAGTGGCCAGTCCTTTTCCTTCAAGCAGGCAGCATCTACATGAGGTCACAATGGGTAGTCTCCTCCCATCCAATCACATCAGCATGAGGTCACAATGGCTGGCCTCCTCCCATCCAATCACATCAGCATGAGGTCACAATGACCTCTGATTAGCGGTTGCTGGGAATCACAAGTGGAGACACTGCTGCCACGCTCAGTCCTGCTTGTGTGCTTCCCAGAAGACACATCTGGTTGTCCAGTGTAACAGCTGGAGTAGATGGGCCGATGGTGTGATCCGACACCTGCAAGGCTCATCTCTTCCTACAAGTCATTTGTTTCTCTCGTTTTAAATAGGGCTTCCGCTTCCCAGGCTGGACCATATCTCCTGGCAGGGAGAAAGGGCCGACCCGTTTGCCGAAAGCTCTGAAGAGGAGAGATCAGCAGGTAGGCACTTGGGGGGGGGGCCCCCATGTCAGGCATACAGTGGTGCCCCGCAAGATGAATGCCTCGCAAGACGGGAAAACTCGCTAGACGAAAGGGTTTTCCGTTTTGGAGGTGCTTCGCAAAACAAATCTCCTATGGGCTTGCTTCGCAAGACGAAAATGCCTTGCGAGTTCCTGCGGGTTTTTTTCCTCCCCCCCCCTTTTCTAAGCCGCTAAGCCGCTTATCAGCTGATCCGATCAGCAGATAAGCCGCTAAAAGCCGCTAATAGCGCTAATCCGCTAATCCTTCAATGGGCTTGCTTCGCAAGACGAAAAAACCGCTAGACGAAGAGAATCACAGAACGGATTCTTTTCGTCTTGCAAGGCACCACTGTACCTAGCTATGTCTTCACCTAGCAACCATATTTTTTTCTTGCTGAATATCACCCAGTTATGATGCCCCTTTAATTGATGGATTGACAATACGACAGTACTTGCAACATGTGAACGGATTGCCAGACTTTGTCTGGACAAATATATTGATGTTTGGAACAAGTTTATACAGAATATAATAGGCTATTAATAAGGATAATAATATGACTTATATCTATATGGAAATGTAACTGATATTACTTATTGTATGATATTGTACCTTTTGCACCTTTTTTCCTATTTCTTTCTTTTTCATTCTTTTATCCTATTTCCTTATAAATGAAATTCTTCTTAAGAAAAAAGGAAAACAAAAACTACCCAGTTGTAAGCCCACAAACTTATCCACATTTAACTTGTGCACATTTGGCAAAAAAATTAGGAAGGGGGCGACCCCACCTACCACTGAACCCAGTGTGTTTTGACCATACGTGGTTTTGGCTTTTAGGCACAATCCTGGGAACGTGACCCCACCCCCCCATAAGTTGCAGGTGCCCTGTATATCTGAGAAACAGCCAGGGAATAGTGCAAGGGATTCTCTCAACTGGGAAAGGAGTAGTTTGTATCTAAAGTGAGGAATGGCAGATCTTATTTCATAGCACCCACCTGTACTCCATGAACCCAGTTAGGCTCAGCCCCAATTTGTCCCACAAGTCCGTTCCCCACAAACCACATCCGCCTGCCCCAGGGGTTGCCAATGTTTTTGGACTAGTGGTTGCATTTAAAATTTTGAAGGGGGTGCTGGGACTGCCAGTCACAAAATGGCTGCCATGGAGTGGGCATGGCCTAACACAAAATGTCCCTATTTTCCAGGGACGTCCGTGATTTAGAGAAGCCGTCCTGGTTTCTTATTTGATCCCAGAATGTCCCATTTTTCCTTAGGACGTCCCTATTTTCATTGGAGAAATGTTGAAGGGTATGGAGTTATCCGACCCCCGAGCCATTTGAAGGCAATCCTGTATAGGGAAGGTTTTTTTTTAATGTTTAATTGCATTTTTATATATGTTGGAAGCTGCCCAGAGGGCAACCCAGTCAGATGGACAGGGTATAAGTAGTAAAATTTTATTTATGGAATGGGACGTCTCTATTTTGATCGGAGAAATGTTGGAGGTTATGGAATGGCTGCCATGGGGAGCCAGGCATAACACAAAATCAGAGAGACAACCACCCCTGACAATGTTTATGCATACCATGAGAAGGCAGTTATGTCCTGCTGGTTATAGAGATTGTGTGCATATACACACACTGTCTGATGATGTTGCTCTGTAATAACAGCACAGAGCATTCTATGTGGGGCTACCTTTGAAGGTGACCTGGAAACTACAACTAATCCAGAATGTGGCAGCTAGACTGGTGACTGGGGGCGGCCATCGAGACCATATAACACCAGTCCTGAAAGACCTACATTGGCTCCCGGTACATTTCCGAGCACAATTCAAAGTGTTGGTGTTGACGTTTAAAGCCCTAAATGGCCTCGGCCCAGTATACCTGAAGGAGTGTCTCCACCCCCATTGTTCTGCCCGGACACCTGAGGTCCAGCGCTGAGGGCTTTCTGGTGGTTCCCTCACTGCGAGAAGCTAAGCTACAGGGAACCAGGCTGAGGGCCTTCCCGGTAGTGGCGCCGGCCCTGTGGAACGCCCTCCTACCAGATGTCAAAGAGAACAACAGCTACCAGACTTTTTGAAGGCAGCCCTGTTTAGGGAAGCCTTTAATGGTTGATGCATTACTGTATTTTAATACTTTGTTGGAAGATGTCAAAGAGATAAACAACTACCTTACATTTAGAAGGCATCTGAAGGCAGCCTTGTTCAGGGAAGTTTTCAATGTGTGACATTTTAATGTATTTTTAATCTTTGTTGGAAGCCTCCCAGAGTGGCTGGGAAACCCAGCCAGATAGACAGGGTACACATAATAAATTACTATTACCATCACCAGGAAACATATACAAGCTAGCCTCACCATTCATTTCACAGAAATCAATTAGAAGGCACCTACCCATTTTGCCTTTTAATTGGGTTGGGTTGGTGACCCCCGACAGGCAATGTGTTTGAATCCAAAGTGCTCCTGCAAATGGACTTCAAAGCGGCTCCCTGCAACAGCCAATTAGTTGAACAATTTTGGCAAACCCCTTTGAAGTCGCAGCTCCTGGAATCAATCAGCTGATTGGTGCTCAGAGCACACCTTCAAAGGAAGCTGCTCCAACCTCCACTCAGCTGATTGGTGCTTACAGGGACCCCTTTTGAACTTTTTAAGCTGTCAGTCACCGGACACCATTATACCATTGGGTGATTGACAAGTGGATGGAATTAAGCAGCCTGCCTAACACCCAGATTCAGTTTCCCACTTCTGCTTTAAAGACTATGTCACCACATTGCCCGAGCTTCCCCCGACCCCAGCCCCCAGAACAGGCTGCTATCCGCAAGCCTTGCGAGCCGGGCGGGAACTCCTGCTGGGCTCGCAAGGCTTGCGGACATCTGCGCGAAGCACGGGGCGCGCTCCGGGGTGTGCCCCATGCTTCGGGCTGCAGGATGCTGCCCGCAAGCCTTGCGAGCCCGGCGGGAACTCCCAAGGGTTGCGGATAGCTTCCTGAAGCCTGGAGAGCGAGAGGAGTCGGTGCGCACTGACGACTCTCACTCTCCAGGCTTCAGCGAAAGCCTGCATTCGCCCCATAGGACGCACACACATGCTAACAATTTCCCCTTCATTTTTGGAGGGGAAAAAGTGCGTCCTATAGGGCAAAAAATACAGTACATTCGTTTGGATAGTGAACCTGTGATCTTGCATGAGCAGAATAGCCATTGCTCCATACACCACCCCATTTGTCTGTTCCAAGGTTCATCAGATCAATGTTTGTTCCATGATTCGTAGATCTCTTCCTCCCTGATCAGATTTCACCTTTGATTCCTTTAGATGACGACGGAGAGGGCAACAAAGAGTGTGAACGGCGTAGAATGAAAACGGAATTAAAACAGAAGTGGGGGAACAAATCCATTGCTTTTGAAGGGACTGACTTCCATGAAATCCCAATAGTAGAAGAACATTGTGAAGGAAACCAAAGAAAAATCCACAAGGAGAAACTGTTGAAATGTGCAGAGTGTGGGAAGCTTTTCAGCCAGCAGATATACCTTATTAAACACCAGAGAGCACATGCTATAGATAAAACGTACAAATGCTTGGAGTGCGGGAAGCAGTTCCTTCGCAGCTCAGACCTTCATTTTCATCAAAGATTCCATGCAGGCAAAAAGCCTTATAAATGCTCAGAGTGTGGAAAGCGGTTCAGTCATAGCGTAAGTCTGAAATGGCACGAAAGTATTCACACGAGAGAAAAGCCCTATAAATGCTCGGAGTGTGGAAAGGGTTTTATTGACGGTAGAAACCTTAAAAGACATCAAAGAATCCACACAGGGGAGAAACCTTACAAGTGCTCAGTGTGTGGAAAGGGCTTCAGTCGCAGCCCTGAGCTTAAATCGCATCAGAGAATCCACACTGGGGAGAAGCCCTATAAGTGCTCCGAGTGCGGGAAGAGGTTCAACCTGAGTTCAAACCTTAGTAAACATCAAAGAATCCACACAGGGGAGAAGCCCTACACATGTTCAGCGTGTGGGAAGAGCTTCAGCCATAGCACGCATCTTAAAAGACATGAAAGAATCCACACGGGGGAGAAGCCCTATAAATGTTTCGAGTGTGGGAAGAGCTTCAGTCAAAACATAATTCTTAAATCGCACCAGAGAATTCACACGGGGGAGAAGCCAGATAAATGCTCCGAGTGCGGGAAGTGTTTCAGCAATAGTGGGAACCTTAAAATACACCAGAAAATCCACACAGGGGAGAAGCCCTATAAATGCTCAGAGTGCGGGAAGTGTTTCAGTCAAAGCATAATCCTTAAATCGCATCAAAGAACTCACACGGGAGAGAAGCCCTTTATATGCTCTGGGTGTGGAAAGAGTTTTGGCGATAGCAGAAGCCTCAAAGTCCATCAAAGAGTCCACACCCAGGAGAAGCCCTATAAATGCTCCGAGTGCGGCAAGACTTTCAGCGTCGGCAGAAGCCTCAAAGTACACCAAAGAACCCACACGCAGGAGAAACCCTATAAATGCCTCGAGTGCGGGAAAAGCTTCAGTGACAGCAGAATCCTCAAAGTGCATCAAAGGATCCACACGGGGGAGAAGCCCTACAACTGCTCAGAGTGCGGGAAGAGCTTCAACCAGAGCACACACCTTAAGAGACATCAGAGAACCCACACAGAGGAGAAGCCCTACAAGTGCTTGGAGTGCGGGAAAAGCTTCAACCAGAGCACGCACCTCAATACACACAGAAGAATCCACGTGAGAAACACTCAGGGTGCGGAATGACCCTCCGCCAGAGATGACGCTTTCCACTGCGTCAAGCAGGGTGGAATCCTGCAAATCCTAGTGATGATTGGAATGTGGGAAGTTCTTGAGATGGAACGTAAGCTTCCGACTTTCAAGATGCCAACCCAAGGGAAAGCATAGGAATAATTAGAGTAGAGAATCACTTGACCAATCAAATCTTAATAAGCAGCTGTAGCAGGGCTCAGAATGGACAGTTCCCAGTGACTACGTGAGTCCAGGATAGATGCGTGTCTAGCCTTGTTAGGATTCGTGCTCCGCGTTTGCAGTCATGAGATTGTTGTCTATCACATGGCGGTGTATGCTTTCATTCCAGAGTGTGGGAAGTGACGGAGACAGGATGTTTTGGTATTGTATTTTTGTAGGCCTAATGTTATGCTTAGCCTCTGTCCGGAAATTCTGCGTTGACAGCATTTAAAAAAATTCTCCCCTTGCTGTAACCTTGGACAATCATGTTTAATTAAACAATGTGATATTGGCTGCCTGTTCAGTCTACATTTTATTCCTGCACTGCAGGGGGTCAGGCTAGATGATCCTTGAGGTCTCTCCCAGCTCTACAGTTTTATGATTCTATGAAGAAGTTCTCAGATCCTCCTGGCCTTCGGCTGCAAGGTCCCCTGTGATCACTGGTTCACTGGCAAGCTGTCTTTGATTCTAGCAGCCTCTATAAAATCAACCAAGAAGAGGCTCCTAGCAGGCCGGTCGCCAGCCATGATTGAAGGTTGACCCCTCTGCCTAAAAGTATCCGTCTTTGCTTGTTTAAAGAATGTAAGAGGCCAGGTCAGGCCCAACACATGTCTAGTCCATCATTCTGTTACCACTTTTTACTGTTTGGAATTTCTGTTCGTTCTTTCTTATGTCCCCTCTGATAACTGATAGTTCTGGGGCACACACACAGGAATGTTTCTCCTTTCTCACGAGTAGAACAAACATGTAGCCAATGTATATGCAGGTAATCAGAAGTCCCTCATTACTGCAATGCTTCCTCTTTGGATTTCATTCTTAAGCTCAAGAACACTGAGCATTTATTTATTTTTGGTCAGGACGATAGCATGTGCCAAGGACTAATTTTTTGAGTGGAATATGCATGGTGGCTAAGTGGCGATTTAACTTGCACACTGTTTTTGAAAAACCGGACTCATTTAAACTGGTTTTCAACTGAAAATCAAAACTTTCAGCCGAATCCATATTTTATATGCCACTCTTCCTCCACCCGCTCCCCAAACCTGAATTGAGATGCACTTACCTTGTTGATTCTAAGCTGCCTCTCCTGTTAGCTTGGTCTGTGCTACGTGAAAACATGTATCAATGGGTTTCTTTTCCTTTCCTTCCCCCTGCTCTCTAAAATTGGGATTTAATCTCACTGTCTAGTTACACTGTGGCTCAAGATATTCCTGCCATGGTAGAGCTGAAAACTAGGTTTCTACAGTTGTATTGCCTTTAGCTCTTGAGCTCTGACCATTTTTCTTAAAAAAATATTTACAGGATTAGCTCCTAGCACACAGTGCCTTTAGTGTGCTCTCATTACAGTTTAAGCTGACGCAATGAATAAACAAGCAAATAAATGGGGTTGCTGGCATCCGTCTGTCTCGGGAGACCTTGGAGGGGTGCACCTCTGAGGGTGAAGTCAACCTGTTGGAAGGTTGCAGTGCCTGCTGTGGCTGTAGAGAACGATATGGGAGGGACATGTTTTGTTGCAGGTGGGGGCATTTCGTTGTGCTACTGCAGATGCACAAATACATTTCTTCTCTCTGTGCTTTCCCCAGCTATCATTCCTCCCGTGGTCAACTGTCTCCAGGAACTGTGGTCGGCTGCAAGGGATTCCCACACGGTGGGTTTTATGTTGCCAGTCTTAATACAGTGGTGCCCCGCAAGACGAATGCCCCGCAAGACGGAAAACCTGCTAGACGAAAGGGTTTTCCGTTTTGGAGGTGCTTCGCAAAACGAATTTCCTATGGGCTTGCTTCGCAAGATGACAATGCCTTGCGAGTTCCTGCGGGTTCCCCCCCCCTTTTTCTAAGCCGCTAAACCGCTTATCAGCTGATCCGATCAGCCGATAAGCCGCTAAAAGCCCCTAATAGCGCTAATCCGCTAATCCGTCAATGGGCTTGCTTCGCAAGACGAAAAAACCGCTAGACGAAGAGAATCACAGAACGGATTCTTTTCGTCTTGCGAGGCACCACTGTAATAATAATAATATTTCCCCAGCCACTCTGGGTGGCTCCCAACAGAATATTAATAACATGATAAAACATCAAACATTAAAAACTTCTCTAAACAGGGCTGCCTTCAGATCTCTTCTAAAAGTCGGATAGTTGTTTATTTCCTTGACATCTGATGGAAGGGCGTTCCACAGGGTGGGCGCCACTACCGAGAAGGCCCTCTGCCTGGTTCCCTGGTTCTCACAATGAGGGAACCGCCAGAAAGCTGGATCTCAGTGTCCGGGCTGAACGATGGGGGTGGAGACGCTCCTTCAGGTATACAGGACCGAGGCCATTTAGGGCTTTAAAGGTCTGCAGGTGGTAAACATCACATGTGGCCCATGCATGCAATAATTCTCACATCTGCACCTTTGCACATGTATCTGTGGGTCCTTGTATTTTACCTATCATATTTATATGCCCGCTCCCTCCATGAGTTCAAGGTGTCACATTTGGTCCTCCCCCTCCTCATTCAACCTCAACAACCACCCCTACCAGGTAGGCCAGGCTGAGAAGCAGCGACTGGCCCCTAAGGTCGCCCAGCAAACTTCCTCAAGATCCAGTAGGGATTCTAAACCTGAGCATCACACAGCACCAACCCCACCCCCCAAAAAAGCAGTTGGATGTCCCTGCAAAGCTGACTATGGCACAGTGCAAGAGGCACTCCTGGCCTGGGATTTCGATTTACGCCCCCCTAGGAGCTGGGTAGAGATAGATAGATAGATAGATCAGTGTTTCCCAACCGGTGTTCCGCGGCACACTAGTGTGCCGCGAGACCTTGCCTGGTGTGCCGTGGGAGGGAGGCGGGCGAGTCGGGCGGCGAGAGGCGGGGCGGCGGCGGCGAGGATCTGCGTCGAGCCGGGGGCGGCTCCGCGGTGGTGGTGCCGAGGTTTCTCTCTCCATTCTCCCCTCACACACACACACAGGAAATAACACAGGATCAGCTGACAGGACCCGGCCAATGGGGCGGCGGCGGGGCAGTGCGCGCAAAAGGGAGGAGCGCGAGACAGCGGACGAGGAGGAGGCCGGCATGTCCGGGCAGCAGCAGCAGCAACAACAGCAGCAGCAACTCCCGGCGACGGCTCCTCAAGCCCCGGGCAACCCTACTCCCTCACTGGCCTCGGCCGCCCTCCTGCTCCACCCGCCGCCGCCGCCGGCCACCTCTGCCCCGCCGCCGCCCCATTTCTGGAGAGGTCGAGAGAGGGCCCTGGCGCCCGAGGGCTCCCCTCCAGCCCGCTCTCCTCGGCAGACATCCTTGCTCGCTCGCACCCCGTCCCGCCCTCGCCGCTCCAAGGCTTCCCCGCTTCCCTCCCCTCCTCCACTGACGCAGTCCGTGCTGCACCAGATCCTAACATGGCGGCGGCGAGGTGGTGAAGAGCGCGGCGGCGACGGCGGCGAAATGAGACTCCGGGCCGAGCGGGCAAGCGCGGCGGCGGGCGGGCGGGTGAGTGGCTTGAGCCGGGCTCTCTTCTGCTCGAGGGGCCGCGGCGTCGCCGCCGGCGAATATTTAAGGGCCTCGTGGTGAGGGGGGGAAAGGGAGCAATGGCGCGGGAGGCGAGAGGGCTCGGTCCTCTCTCCATTTGAATCTGCCTCGCAAGGGGCGGGCGGGCAGGCTCGGCGAGTCCTGGAATGTAGAACCAGCATGGCATGGGGACTCGCTTCCACAGTGCCGAAAATCACGTCTGCACAGATGCCGAAAAATGCGAGTGCGCGGGCGATCCGGCCCACGAGGGGATCTCCGCTGGAGTGAACCGGCCCAGGCTAGGTAAACCTTGCCAACCCCTGCCATAGTGCATATTCCAGCCATACTCCTCCGCCCGCTATCGCCGCCACCACCACAGCAGCCGCCGCCGCCTCAGCTGGGCCCATGCCTGCCGGGAGCGGCGGCGGCAGCAGCAGCAGCGCCCCGGCGCCCTTCCCTCACGGCGGCGACCCGGCCCTGAACGAGCAGAAGGAGCTCAAGTGACGCTGCACGCTGACGTCACGGGGCTGTAATGGTGGTGTGCCTCGAGATTTTTTTCATCAAACAAGTGTGCCTTTGCCCAAAAAAGGTTGGGAAACACTGAGATAGATAGATAGATAGATAGATAGATAGATAGATAGATAGATAGATAATTTATTACGCTCGGAGACCAGCTTATAAAACACACTTAGGGGTACAATCCAGAAAGAAAACAAACATTTAAAACAATGTACAACAATAAATTTAAAATTTATAAATGCCATAAGCGTATAAACACTTAAAACTTTAAGATAAGCTACTGCAGATGAGTCACCCATGGAACCGAGTTTGGGGGTTTTCTTAACGAACTAGTTTGGGTTGGGGGATGGTCTGCGCCCACAGATCTGTACACAGAATCTGGCGACCATCTGGGTCGTCTTATGATCTTTGCCTAAGACTCAAACCCATGACTTCAAGCTACAAGAAAAGAGATTACGACTCAACATCAGGAAAAAAGCTTTCTTAGCAGCTGAAACGGATTCCCGAGAGAGGTGGCGGACTCTCCTTCCTTGGAGGTTTTTAAACAGAGGTTGGATGCCCGTCCATCATGGATGCTTTAGCTGAGATTCCTGCATTGCAGGGGGTTGGACTAGATGACCCTTGGGGGTCCCAACTCTATTCTTTGACCTCAGGAATTCCCAGATTAACAGCCCGAAGGGGGACGTTTCTCCCCACGATGGGTGTCGTGGAGGAACCCTGGCCAGCTGCGAAGGACCATTTGACCAGGGTGGGTGGGATGGTGGGGGGAGAGAGACTCCCCCAGCTGCTCCTCACCTGCCTGCCTTTTACACTCTCCCTTTACTAGCTGGGGGGGGGGGTTCCCCCTGCAAAAGCCCACTGCCCAGACTTGCACTGTCCTTTTCTCCCTTCTACCCACGATCCCCGCCCCTCTCCCATTCTGCACTAGGGAAAAAGGGAAAAGGCGGATCTACACAGATCCTCGTGAATTCATATGATTTTTTTCATCCAAATTAAATAAAACCACCATGATACTGTAGACCATGTCTTACTCTGTAGAAAGCATCAAAAAAATCACGCATCCACTGTTTCGGGGGGGGGGGTGCAGGGGCGCAAAAACATGGTTAAAAAACACAGATCCTCATGGATCCTAATGATTTTTCCACTAGATCAGCCCAAAGTCACCATCAGATCAAGGATCATGGCCATGGGCACAGCATCCACCACAAAAATCACGGATCCACGGCTTCCTGGCGAAACCATGGCCCAAAAACGTGGTTTTGAAGCACGGATCTTCATGGATCCACATGCTTTTTACA